CTTCTGTGTTCAACATCGCACATTTTGCATATATCTTTGTTTTGACTCCCATGACGTAACAGAACACAGATGAGCAGAGGGGAGGCGATGCTTGCAGGGTCAGTTCGTGCAGACATGCAGGTAGACACAGGTCAATCTTTTCAGTGACTCAGAAGAAACTCACTTTTCAGTGTTTAGTCTGCCTCCTCAAAACCTCCTTCACTTACGTGTCAGTGTCTCACAGCTGGAGGGGCCTGACACAGGGTGGTGGAGAAGGGTGGAAATTGTGTGGTGGAATAGTTTGGGATGATGAAACCTTAGACTTTATTTCTCCCCCTTGTTCAGCTCATGAAAAGCCATCTGCTCTGTTTGGCCATATCTGCCTTCATGCTGTCCTCCCTGCGTACATCTTTTCGCTGCAGTTTTCTGCAGTGCATGCTTACTGTCGTCAACTCAGCACAAGCCTATCTGTCCTCTCGCCTGATTACAGTAATTGTTGGGATTTGTGTGAAATGGAGTGGATGCCTCGTAAGGGAAAGCGAATCACTCAGGTTAAAAAAATGCACACAAACAGAGGTTAGGCTGTGAGTCAGAGGTTGGGGGAGGTTAAGGAGGGTTCACCCGGTGGTGTTTAGTGAGAGTCGGAGCAGGAGAAAATAATGCATGCAGGACTTTAGAGGCAGGATGAGTATGTTGTCCTGCCATTGGCTCAGGATGGGTAGTTCAGGTCCAATGAGTGGGATGGAGAGGGACACGCATAAGGCAAACATATCAGTTGACTAATACTAGAGCCAAATGTGAAAGAGAAAAATTGAGAGCAAAGATAAGCGCAGTATGTTTGTTACTGGTTGTTCCATACAGTATATGGTTCTTAAGAATGTGGTTATTAATAATTTTTGCCCTCTAGATATTTGTATCTGCATATGTCTTTAATAATTAGCCCAGTGACATCTCTCCGGGCCATGCTAATATTGTTTTTGTCACTCAACTTTATCAGTGAAGCATTATTCCTTTACAGCAGCAATATTTTTAACTGCAGTCCCAGTTTAGAGTTTTATCTTCCTCAGTTATCTCACTCTAGCTGCCTCTCTTCCACCAGCATGATCAGAACAGATGTTTTGCCTGTCAATGATTAATAGCCACAGAAATGTGATCAAAGTGGATGCTGCTGACAAGGCGTCAATCTGGGTCAAATTGAATATTTCAATTCTGACTGTACTTGACCACAAGGTGAATGACATTCTCCACAATCTCAAAGCAAGCACTTAAAATACTGAAACTTTGAAGCCTGACCTTTTAAAATGTACTGAACTTAATAACACTTAATTAAATGACCAATCCCTGAAACTATTATCTTTTATTTTCTATACTGATACTGACAAAACAATATTATTCTGTTTCTGTTTTACATTTGTGCACATATTTGATACTGCCTTATATTTATAGTGTATACACATTCTTTCATTGCCATTCATTGTTGTAAATGTGCCTTTCTTGTATTTCAGTTTCACTGTCATTTTACTTGCTGTTGTGGGGGACCTCCACTAGGGGTCGCCAAAGATTCACAGGGTGATGCGAGGCATTCATTTTAAGGGATGTAGGAAAATGTAAAAGTTCTAAATATAAAAATATAAATCAGCATTTGGTTCATTTCCTTGAAGAAAACTAAATGAAATTGTATTTTTTAAGTTTAGATTATTATTTAAAGGTCCAGTGTGTAGCATTTAGGAGGATCTATTGTCAGAAATGGAATATAATATTCATAGGTATGTTTTCATTAGTGTATAATCAGCTGAATTGTTGTGTTTTTGTTGCCTTAAAATAAGCCTTTTATATGTACAGATATTTACATGGCGGTCACCATGTTGACCCACCATGTTTCTACAGTAGCCCAGAAGGGACAAACCAAACACTGGCTGTAGATAGGGGCTTTCACATTTATTTTATGGCCACTGTTGTTACACATGCTAAAGGCTTCACAGCCCATTCTCATTCCCAGGTTGTCAAATACAGATGCAAGTGTTGTTCAGTTAGTTGCAATCTGCAACTTTAAAGGACCAATGTGTAGGATTTTGTGGCCCTCTATAGTGGCTGCGAAACTTAAAAATGTCTAAACTATCTAGAGGCAGTGTTTGGTTTGTCTGTTCTGCGCTGCTGTAGAAACCTGGCGGACTCCATGGAAGGCAACCCTCACTGTTTGTAGAAAATACAACCATACCTATGAAAATTATATTCCATTTCTGCCACTAGAGCCTCACATGGCGAACAGTGCTGCAGTGTTGTTGTTTTTTTCATTCATTCAAAACTGTCAGAAGCACCAGAGCCGTTGTAGCTTTAGTGTCTAAGCAGCAGTTTGTTTAAGTACAGCTGAGAGAAAAATATTCTATTATTAGTAGTTGCCCTATACAGGTTTAATGCTAATCCCATGTGATTGTAGTTTATAACAACATGGGGCCTTGATGTCACCAGTGGTGATTATGGTGCCTCATTTGCACTCTATGGGAAGTAATGGAGAGCAAATGAAGGGACTTGCTGTGTAAGTAAAGACAGGCTTAAGTCCCTAATGCTAAAGCATATAGGGTAATATTTGTGTAACATTAAAATCTCAAACATAAGTGAATAGTTTATGAGCTGTCTGGCATGTTTCCCGTTTAAACAAGGAAGTCAGGTTGAAAGTCTTTCTGAAAAACAACATCCCTCATACAGTTGTCTGAACTGGCCCATAAAGCACATCCACATGATGAAGAGGTCAGTTGAGATGCATTTCATGTGACCTGTCTGCTGCTCCCACTCGTGCAGCTGAGATGAAGAACACACACAGACCGTTGTGTATGTATATGCATACTGTATGTAAATGGAACATGTGTTCGATGTATAAACAGAAGTGAATTGTTTGTGTGAGCATCTTTTTGCATCCACCTGAAACCTGACCAGGACTTGTGTGCATGTTTTGGGTGAATGAGAGTGTGTGTGTGTATCAGCGTGATACAGCATGTTTGATAGAGAACTGTCTATTGTCTCCAGAGGAAACAATATGACACTCAGTTACAGCTGTAGGCTACAGTTATACACGTACACAGAACCCAAACAGACACACCTACATATTTCAGATTCTCTCTGTGGGCTTTGCGGTGGGTGTTACATGTGATTTGCAAAGCAAGTTGAAAACCACATGTTGATAAAGCTGCATATATTGTAAACTGATGCAGATTTGCTGTCGTTGTAGAGTCAGACAGAAGCACACCGCTTCTCAGATGCTTTGGTATTGCTATTGTTCGCTTTGCTCTATGTTTTGCTCGCTAGCGTCCTCCATTTTTGTAGTAAACACCATAACATTGCTAGCTTAGTTTACTGACAGGTCAATAGGTCAATCTGGTAGTGGCGCACACTCTCCTGGATCTACTTAAAATGGTCTGTGGGTTTATAGACAGTACATTCTGAATTTGAACAGGTCATTACACTAAGCAAACGAACCACGTTCTAGTGAATTTTCAAATTTTGAATAACAAGTGACAGCCCTACAGCTTATTGTTAGGATTAGCACCCTAGAGGGCACTATAGCGTACTATATCCACTGGAAGGGCACCCTAAAGGCCACTTGGATGCTATGGAAGGACCAAAACCAATATTGCATTAGTCTGTCTCTCTCTGACTTCTGTAGCGTGTCTGTGGCAATCACCACCAAAGCCTGTATAGTATGTTAATACTGAACATGTAAATCAGAAAACATTTAGCTTCATTTTTAGTTTCCTGGGCACTGTAGTTTTCACCAAATTCTGGAGGAAATTGTGCAATTTGTTGGGGACTATTTTTCAGCTGTGGATTAATACACATTGCACGTGCTAATGAGAATTTACAGCGTGGTGTACGGCTGAGTCAATATAAAGTGTGTGTTCATGATAATAAAAAAAAAACATGTCACACAGTGTAACGTGTAGCTCACTGATGTGAGTTTCATCTTTTTTTAGTCAACAGTGGGAGCTGGTAGAATCCGTTCACTGGAATTTGTTCACCAAATTAAAAATATAGAATATTGTCAGGTCAGGCAGTTAAAATAATGTGTTCAAATTAAGTAAAAGATCATGCTCATGGTTAAATAATGAAGACGTCAATGCTTTCTACTACACAAGACTGCAAATAAACCCAGGTGGCTGCTTATGCGCCCACTGACACCTTACATTTACTCACTCTTACACTACATACTCTAAGTGTCACACTGCTTTCTGCATTGCCACTGAAAGTTTCCATTGAACACAAGTTACAAGCTCTCCCAGACTTCCGCTGGGTACCAGTATGGGAATGAACAAAACAGTAATTTAGGGCAGCCCAACAAAGATGGTAATGTATAATAATTGCAGTTGGATTTGAACTACGTCTGCACTGGTACTTTGAGACAATATTCATCAGGTAAATCAAATAAAGATAGATGATGATAGGGCCAAAATCCAATGCACACATGGTCGCCACCTCAATTTCGGGGCCTTGTCTCACTGTGGACAGTATGCAGGATAAACAAGTAGTCGATCAGACAGAGAAAGTGAGAGGCACCATCATCTCACACATACCGAGTCCTCATTGAACCGTGGCCAAACAGGTATGTGGCGTTCTGTTGTACAACTGTCACTGTCACTCGGTTTCCCCCTTCATACTTCCCACCATCCACACACAAAAAGCAGAGATCCCCTTTGCTGCTGTCTTCTTTCCTTTGCTGTCTGGAATTTTGCACATTCCCTCAAACATCTGCCCCTTTTCACCAACTCCGTTCTCCTCGTCTCGCTATCCATATTTCCAGCTATTTCTTATTTTCCATTCCCTCGTCCCTGCAGCTTGCCGTCTGTCTTTGTCATTCACTCCTCCTCAGAGCTGCCTGACTCGCTCTGTGATATATGAGCCTCAGGAGGCGTTTGGGCCTTTCAGTGTGCTGCTGCGTCCTGTGTTGTTCTGTTCTAGCGTGGGCCATTGTTAAGAAAAGTACACAGCAAAAATACAAAACAAAAACAAAACAAACCCAGGCACAAACATAGTGAAATCACGACTGTACACATTTATTTAGAGATGCAAAAGGGACAAGAAATGACAGAAATTGCTCTCTAGAATGTGTTTGGGTTTGTTTACATAACCTTTTGACTGACACATAATATTCTTCTCTGAAGTGTGGAGACATATTGATTGTGAGGATATGATCAGTATGGTTAGTTGATATGATTACATCACTGTACAGAGCTATATATGCACAGTATGTATTGGCTGGTTTTAATGGTACATATCCCCAGTGTTGGTACAGCGGCACCATCTAGTGGACACAAAGCTTTACTAAATTATCTGTCTAAAACAAGAATAATCAAGACACAAAACAGTTTAAAATAAAATAAAATAAGTTGTAAAAATGAAGAAAATTCGTATAAATATACTGGAGACATTCATGATTGGAACAGTGTTCTAATTCACAGGAATTTACATACAATTAAAAGCAAATATTTTCTTTCATTTAATCACATGGATTGCTCTGGTTCCTGATTTTTCCACTTTGTTTCAATGTTTTTTTCATTTCAGTCAAAAGTGAAAGCTTCCAGTATTTGGTGTATTTAGATATTTGTTGTTAGCATTTATTCGTATGTTGACCACTGGTGTTGGAACAATACTTAAAAAAGTCCTATTACTTTAAAACTTAATGAAATAAAATTAAATGTGGAATGTTCTTTTTTTGCCCATTTAACTTGCATTATAGTTATTCAGAAACTTAGATATACCACCAATGTCCCCTTAAAGTTCTGATTCTCTTGTTGATTCTCTTCTTTTTGAATGTAAATTTTCAACCAGTTATGTTTAGAGATGTTTTGAAAAGCCTTAATTGTAATTATTGCAGTAGAATGTGTAATTTAGGTCCTTATATTATGAAAAACAAATCACACTATTTACATGTATCTTTAATAGATTGTGGTTTTGATTGTAGACATCAAATGTTGAAAATGACCCGGTGTCATTCTGTTGCTCAGTCAGTGAGTCAGTGGGGTTTTCCACAGACCACTAACCCCCAGACAGACACCATGAGGCAGAGTAAGTGTTGATCCAGTATTCCTCGCTAGACTTTAATCTCAGAGGACTTTTGTTTAGCCAGGTAGATAAATAGGAACGGGAGTGAAGAGGCACTTGTTTACAGTTTGGGAAACAAAGTGCTAACAGACCAAACAGCATGTGGATGTTGCCTGCTGTCAGACAAACAAACCTGACTCAACAAAAATGAGTCAATATTTTAACGTCTGGTAAAGGTCCAGTGTGTAGGATTTAGTGGTATCAAGCGGTATAGTTACAGGTCGCAGCTCTGTTTCATCCTCCCCTTCCAAACATGCCCCTAACTAGAGCCAGTGTTTGGAAACAGTCTGTCCCTTCTGGGCTACTGTAGAAACATGGTGGTTCAACGACTCCATTGAAGGCACCCTTCAGCTTCTGTAGATATAAACGGCTCATTCTAAGGTAACAGAAACATAATGATATCCTAATATTTCATACTAATGAAAACATAGCTATGACTATTATTTTCGGCCAATAGATCCTTCTAAATGTTACACACTGGACCTTTAATGAGAAAAGGATCAAAACTGACAAACCATTGCTCTGTCACAAATTAAATCATCACAGATTCTCAACATTTACCATCTTATCACACACACACACACACACACACACACACACACACACACACACACACACACACACACACACACACACACACACACACACACACATACTGCCATGGCTTAGCCATATTCTGCAATTTATGCCTGTTGCCCACATCTTGATCTACAGACAGACTATTCTACAACTAGGTAACCTCACTGAAATCTTCACCTTATTTTGTATATTACTGAGTTTCTGGAGGCTTCTTGATCTCATCTTCCTCCTCCACCTGAGTGTCTGGGTTGTCTCCCTCTGCACTGCCAGGCTCCTGCGTCTGTCCACCCCACCACAGTTTACAGTAGGTGTTGAGCCGCTCCAGGATGTCCATGGAGTGATTGATAAGCAGGGCCAGCCAGGCCAAGCCGAAGAAGATCCACGAGGCCATGAGGACGCTGTACCAATCTGGGTATTCTCTGTCCGGATTATTATCTGGAATGGAGAGATTCAGTTAATACAAAGCAAAGTGTACTGTGTTGATAAAAAGCTAACAAATAAAAACATGAAAAGTAAAAGTAAATGGTCACTCAGGATCACAACGTGACAATCAGCCCTGCAGTGTGTTTCATGGGGGAGATGACAACTGCGCTGTACCTGCCACAAAGTCTCCAAAGCCAATGGTGCTGAGGGTGATGAAGCAGAAGTAGATGGCCTGGGAGTAGGTCCAGCCCTCATGCTGTTGGAACACAATCATGGGCACAACAAAGAAGAGAACTGCTCCTGACAGGTAGGACACCAGGTGGACAAAAAAGCGGGTACACGTCTGCAGTGGGATGTGGGAGGGAGAAGTGAGTCAACAAAACTTAAATGGCTCAAATCATTCCTGTCTACAAAAAAGAAAACACTTTTTGGAAAACTATACTGGACCAATTTTTTCCCCAAGGGAAGATATGCCAGGAATAACAAGTGTTTCCAAATGCAACTTTTATACTACTGAAAATAGCCATGAGAATTGTTAACAGAGCAGATACCTATTATCATGAACCAACTTACATACATATACATACATACTTATACATACATATTTATAAACTAACATGCTCTCAGATTTAGAGATTTGGTGGACTTCCAAATGGCACAATTAATGTATAAAGTGAAAAAATTAGATGCTTCCTAAGTGCGCCAGTATGAACTAAGAATAATTTGCATGTTTAGAAAAACAAAGGTTGGAACAAATGCAAATCAACAATGTCTAACAGTTAAATTAGTTCATTTGTGGAACAGTTTTGAAAAGGAAATGAAAATGTGTAATACACTAAACAGATAAAAAAGTATCAATATTTAAAATGGAGGAAGGAACACTATTGTGTATATTCATTTTTGTTTGGGACTTTTGGGTCTATATAATAATACATAATGTAAAAATACATATTTTTAGGATCTGTACATAATGACTGTAAAGCTAAGGCTTTAGCCTTCAGGGTCAGTATAATGTCTTTGATTGTATTTATTTATTTACATGTGTTTTTGAGTTGTAAACTAACTAACTTTAGGGTTCCAAAGAATAATTTTGTTGCTTGAAAACCCTCTGGAGTGTACTTAATTATTAGACTAAGTACTAACAGATCTCCTCACCCTTCGCCCGGTCTTTCCCTCGATGAAGTCAGAGATGTTCCTCTCAATAACAAGCATGTACTTGCCCACCCTGTTGAGCACCACCAAGTTGAGCGGGATGCCAAACAGAGCAAAGAACACGCAGAAGATCTGGCCAGCAGTAGAGCTGGGACTCATGTTCCCATAACCTGTGAAACTGTAAGCTGTTAGTATCTCATCTCACTGAGCTGGAAGGAGAGAAAGAACTGTTATTTTCTGATTCAATTGTTCAATCAGTTTATAAGTATAAGTTTAATTCATTCTTCATTACAGCCACAAAATATTCACATTTGAGAAGCTGAAATCAGAGAATTTGGACATCCTTAATAAATGACTCAAAAAGACTGATTATCAAAATAGTCGACAACTAATCAATTAATGGACTAATCGTTGCAGCTCTAAAATTAAATAAACTAAAGAGTAGCTTTGGCAAAGTGGGAAATTCATTTTAAAAAAGCTCACCCACTGCTCAGAAATCTTCAAAAACACATCTCTGTATGAAATAGTAATTTCCCACATTAAATGAAATGAAAGGCTTATTCATACTGACAGGAATACAATAATGGTTGTAATCTGTGGGCTCTAAAATTGGTCAATATATTGAATATTTGAACACAATGATAAGTACTGATTCAGTTATTCCAACACAACATTACAACTCAGGTCACTGAGCAGATTAAAAGCCTGATAGTATTGTGTTGAATAGGACTGTTGTGGGGCATGAACAGAAATCTGCTGGGTTTCATCCAGTGATGTCTAACCTATAGTTGTGACCACAGTGGCAGCAAACACAGATGAGCTGGTGAACTTCCAGAAGCCATCCGTGGTATAGTTGCCCTTCAAACTTAGGCCGGCCTTGGATGCATCGTAAACAACCTGAAACACAGATAATAATTAGAAACTGGGCACAAATGGACTTGGGTCAGACTTTATTACTCACAGTTGTGTAACTCCTGTACGTGGTGATCTGGACATCTTGAGGCCTTTTAGGTCTTTACATGTTATATATATATATATATATGAGATTTAAAACATTAATTCAGCAGAAAACTATTTGCTCTGTAAAGATATAGTGGAGTCATGGTGTCCTGAGCAGAGAATGACGTCACACTTTGCCTGTGTTGCTATCGCAGCCACTTTGTGATTTGTTTACAAAGCCGGGCTGGCTGTGTGAGTCCCACTGTATACAACTGAGGAGAGCGACTGAAACTGCTGTTTTTGTCTCTGTAGGGATCATTTTCTTGATGTTGTCCAGCACTTTTAGGGGACGTACTTTGATGGGTGCATTTGTCCCCAGGGATTAGCTTAGATAGCAGCTTGTTTCACACTTGTTATTTTCACACCTAACCCGGTGAATTAAGGGTTTATTTTGAGCATACAAGCGTTGGTGATTGTGGGGACAGTGGAAATACTAACAAAGACAGTTTTTGGGGAGTTTTATTTAGTTTGTCCAGAAGATACTTTATATATTACCCTCAAGTTTATCAGTTATGATGCAATACTTCTCAATCCCAAATTGGTTTATTACTGTAAGTGTTGCCCAATTTTATAGGGCAGGAAATGTATTCATGTCAGTTTCAACACAATGCAATCTCAAACTCTATCACTTAGCAAGAAGCTGGTGTTTTTCACACTGCCAATAACAACAACATAACATAACCTGCTTTTCCAAAGAATTCATTTCAAAATCTAAAACAAAGATCTTCTTCCAAGAAGAAGGAGATTGCACAACTTTGCTGCTGTGATAATCAAGTCAGGGCAAGACACACACAGGCAGTGTACAATGTGCGGTGCTGAAGGAAGCTGGTGTTTGCATGAAGTCGTCTCGCTGCCAAATAAACACGACAACAAGATTTCAAACAGGGCTGATTTGGTTATTGTTCTTGTATTGCTTAATGGTGCCACTATTGTAGTTGATTACTTGAGTTATTGGAAGTGAAGGTAAAAAATAGCAAGCATGTAGTGGCAAAATATTAGTCTAACGTATTTTTATTCAACAAAAGTGGTTGTCTTGGCCACTAAGGAATATTGAAACAGTGAAAATGTATCAACTGTATGCTAGTTGGAAAGAGTACTGAAATACATTTTGTGAAAACAGAGGACAGCACTGATTTGTGTGTATAAAAGGAGTAGGGTTGTGGTCCAGATGAAAATTCAGTGGTCTCTCTCTTAAACCCACAGCCTGACATATATCAAACAACAATGCAGATGATGGTACCATCAGATATCAGATATTAGCTCATATTTGCTGTTTAGAATGTCCCTGGTAAAAGGAAATGTGTTCCATCGTCCATTAACCATATGGCTTGTATTGCTGTTTTAAAACATTTCCCATGTCTCCATGTCTCACCTGAGCCACTGCCTCCAAGCCCTCTTGGTTCAGACAGGTGTACTTCGTAAGCAGGGCCTTTTTGTGCAACAGTAAACTACTGATGTCCTTCTGTCCGAGTTCTCCCTCCAACTTCCAGAAGACCACCCCTCCGATCAGCACGTAGGTCACATAAACCAACCCGAGCATGAGGATGGAGGGCACCCGCGCCAAGCTGAGCATCTCCTTTATTTCCATTTTGGCTCCCTGGTAGAACTTTTGGATCCAGGCTAGCTCAGCGTCTCAACCTCTGCAGGACAACAAGGACTGAGTCTTGGCTTCTCGTCTTTCAGGCAAATGAACTGTTTCAATCACTCCAATGGCCTGTCATGCAAATCTAGAGGAATAGAATAAGAGCAGGGAGAGACGCCAGCAGAGGTTGGGCTGTAAGTAATGTCAGTGTGGGAGGTCAGATTTTGGAGGTGAGCTCATTGAGTCTGCCTTGTCATGCCAGGGGTCACATCAACATCAGCTGCAATAGTTTGTATGTGCACTCCACTAGTCCACAAAACACAGAGCTTCCACATTATATATCAGACTATATCAGTTTCAATTATTCAGCACAACAGATCTCATACTGACTGGTATAGCCATCTTCCTGTATTCAAGCTGCCTGTCTGGAATCAGTCCTGGATGCTCTCGGGTCACTTCACATCACCACCTTGATTAATGGGTTTGCTTAAGATAGCCCTCCATGCTCAATTCACCAGAGTTTACAATCAGTACACAAACGCAGATGTGGACTGGAAATGATCACACAAACACAGACACTTACACCGTGTAACATTAGAACATTCTAATAATGCAGTTGGGTAACATACAATAAACAGTAAACAAGAGTACAAAAACAGTTCATAGTTCAGCAATGTGAGGATGGAAAAACACTACAGGATTCCTACCTGAAGCACTACGGACAATACAATTAAACACACAGATCAATGTTTTCATATTGAGACCGTATTTATCACTGCTGAAAGTAAGTTTGGACTTATGGGAAAGATAACTTTACACTTTGAAGCATTTTTAAGATATAAGAGATTTCGGTATAGAGTAGATCCTTGATGGCTGAGCACACACAGCTCTAGAACATATCATTGGTCATGATGAATAATATGTTTTTTGGAGTAATATGATATAATTCAGAGGGTAGTATAGTGTTAGGGTACAATTCTATGTGATGTGACATTTTTGTTACATGTGTTTTTCTTGTTTTTCAGGCAGTTTTTCCTTGCCCCCGTCACCAAGGTCTTGCTCATGGTGGTACTGTTGGTCTCTGTAAATAATGTTATAAAGAGTTCGGTCTAGACCTGCTCTATTTGAAAAGTGTCCTGAGATAACTTCTGTTATGAATTGGCGCTATACAAATAAAATAATTGAAAATTGAATTGTTGTGCAAACATGAATAAAGCTAGTATTGAACTTGCCATCCATGCGTCATCTTTGTCTGCCTTTGTTATTGTGACACTACATTCTGCTCATTGTGTTTTCTCTCATGTACTCTGTATAGCAGCACAATTCAATTCCTGCTGCAGTTTGGTCTTCTTTTTGTTTCCATTTCAGTCATTTTCCCATCATGTCCTCCCATTTTTAACAGCTGATGGGATATTAAAAGAATTTCACAATTTAAAAAAAATGTAAATCATGTTTTGCAGAATAAAATCAAATGATCTTTTTAAAGAATAAACAATAAGGCCTGGTCTGTAATGGACTATTTCTACTCAGAGCATACATGTGATTAATCCCTTTCCAGTTGCTTTTAAAGGTGACTCTGTTACTACACTGAGTGTAGGAGTAAGTCACTTTATAAATGTGTGTTATTGCTCACATTCAGTGAAGACCTTTTGTACTCTCCAGTTGGCTCTTTAGAGAATTGGTAGTTGTAATTCTTGGAGAGTTTGATAAATAAGCCCTGGCTACTGTACTGACTCTTTGGCTTAACTGAGGTAGAATTGTCAAACAAAAACCTGTTATGTTTTTCCAGCCTACTGTGTAATATATTCAACCAATTCTCCACAACATAATTATAAAGTAAGGCATTTGAAGAAGGAATAAATATGCTGGGGCAAATATCTTACAAAAACAGTTGATAAAAAGCTGCTACATCTGTTTTCTTACTATGCATCATAATATGTACACAAAACAATCCCACTATTCTACCTAGTGAATATACATTTAGATAGTCCCATCTACTGTCCACTGTCAGATCTTCGACGTGTCTTCTAGTTTAATGGATGACACGTCCTCTTCTTCTTCTTGTTTCTTAAAGCCCGGATGAGTCAGGCCAATCGCATGCTCCATTATTCTGGCACCCATGTTGAGGATAAGAGCAAGCCAAGCCAGGGCAAAGATGATCCATATACCTGCCAGGCTGCGGTACAGAGAGATGTACTGCTTGCCGGGGTCAGTCCCTAGAAGGATCCACATTATCTTGTTAGTTTATCCCAGACAGAAACACTGGGACATTATGTAGATATGTAACACATTAATGAAACATGCATTAGATATTTTAAATTACAACACAGTAATTGTCTCAATGCATTAAAGGCCATTTTATCTAACACAGGTTACCGCTGTGGTCTTTCCACCACATTAGTGCTTGTTTGCTCGCTCTACTCACCCACCACATAATCTCCAAAACCAATGGTGCTAAGGGTAATGAAGGCGAAATAGAAGCCCTCGCCAAACGTCCAGCCTTCCACGTAACTGAACAGCAGGGGAGGGATGACCAAAAACAGCAGGCTGCCAGTGATGAGGAACAAGCTCACTGCCAGAGCCTCAACTGTTTGCTAGGAAACAAACACAGTAATCTTAGGTGAGATTCAGAGGTATTGGGCATGGCAAAGTAGCAATTGCCTTTTCTTGGTGTATCATAAAAGCAAAACTGACCATAAATCTGTCTAGAAACATATCTCAGATATTTTCAGTCAACAAAAATCAACAATTCCCTGGCTAACACGTCAGCACCTTGTGCGGAACTACCGAGACCATTCCCTTCTCCAGTCGCCCCAGGTGGATGGTGAGGCACTTCCCAAGCTGTTTGAGGAAGGCCAGGTTCAGTGGGATCCCACACAGCGCATAGAACACACAGAACACCTGACCGGACACAGTGCTGGGGGAGAGGTTGCCGTAGCCTGTGAACCAGAGCATGACTTGTCATCATCTTATCATATATCTTATTTTATCAAAGTTTTAAAAAATGCTAATGCAGTATGTAAAGATGCTGACCTATGGTTGTGACTACTGTGCCTGCAAAAAAGAAGGAGCTGCAGAAATCCCAGTTACTGGGGTTTGTTGAGTTGCCCGAGGGATTCACTCCCTTTTCCCAGGCATCCAAAATCACCTGCAAACACAAACTGATTCAAATCCAAGAATAAGGTCCCACTCAAGGAAATTGACCTATTTACCTCACTAATGCTTTTTTAATCACTTGGGTAAATATTTCAGATCATACACACAGACAACACACTTATTGATTTATTAGGTCAGGTTAACTGTAATAGCATTTATTGCTCTGTACCTAACCTCATCATAAAATTGATCTTCTAATTTCTCTGTCAATCAGTATTTGACAGTATATTTCACTCAGCCCTTTCCATCATTATATTTACTCAGTCATTAAAAACATGTATACAGCTAGAGGCCTTTTGTCAATCATCACTGACAGACCATGAGTTTTAGCCATTACCATTTTGAATATGAACAGAAGCTGACCTATTTGGTCTGATATGACAAAGTCCAGACCAAGAACTCTCCATCGCACTCATGAAACTTTAACTCCTCAAAGAACTGTGAAGAAAGTGAAGGAAAACCTGAACAAACTTCTCCAAGGCTGGCCCGTCCAGGCAGGTGTAGTTAGCCAAGAAATTCAACTTCTCCAGTTGGAAGTGGTTTCGGTTGTTGCTCTCAGCCTCTCGCTCCAGTATCTGGAAGATGGTGGCCCCAACCAGCAGGTATGTGAAGTGGGCCAGAACCAAAAGCACTGTCCAGCTCACTTTGACCCGGACCAACTGTAACCTCGCCATCAACCTCCTCCAGCACCGGAATGGACTCACACGCTGATGCTCAAACTCAGAAAATAGGTTAATCACTTCAGGGAGGACTAACAATCAGTGTTGATGAAACATGCAGATCTCATGAGTAGTTCCGCAAAGACAGCTTCCATTACTGCAGACTGTTCTCCAAAGTGAGACAAAAATCAAGAAAAGTTGATGTTTGGTAAAGCAGTAACTTAGGGTGACAGCTCTGACTGAATAATCATCCAAAGGTAAAATATCTCGACTCAATGCTCAGCTTCTGATTGGTCAGAGTACTATAGATGCTGGGTGTTGATTTATGGGTTGCTTAGGTAACGATCAAACTCCTCCTCTCCATTAGTGTGACATCTGGACACACACACACAGACTTTCAACTGTTTCCACTAATAAGGCAGCAGGGGCAGCATCTTGTCACCAGAACAAAAGTTAATATTTTACCTGATTGCTGTTGGTTGTTCAGGCACCCACAATTGTGGAGTGCTGATGCCAGAGCCTTTCAATAGCATTCTGCAATATGGGATCTAATTTAACAAGAAAATGGATTTCAACCACAAACTATTTTGATTCCTGAATTGACTTACTTTGCAGAAATTGCTGTTGAAATAATAATAATTGGTGCCAAAACTTGAGTCATGTCGTGGGAGATAAATTTACTTAAATTAAGTATGGACACTTTGAAATCTCACCAGGCTAAAAGCTCAACTTTTCTAACCCGTGGAAGTCTGCTGGAACAATCATCAGACATTTTCCCCACGTTCAGGAGCCAAGCATGTTTATGGTCCGATGGAGGGGAAGGAGATGACATTTTAGAGAGGTGCAGAGAGCACCACTTGATCGTGGGCCATAAAGCAAAGAGTTGAAAGAAGTCTCATGAGAGAAGCTAATGGAGTGCTACGGCTGCAGTGTTTGTATAGGATGTAAGAAAAGCATGCAGTATAGAGTAGATGTCACCAAACTGCAGCTATAATTATAGACATTTGTGTCCTAAAGTCACTGCTTCCCTGCCTGAAAAGAACTCTCATTTGGGGTAGAGTAAAAGTTCAGCAAGAACATAGTAAACAGTGGGATTTCTACGATGGCTACATAATGTGATGTGGATATTTTAGCAACAACTTTACTTAGGTGTGCAGAAAGTGCTGATGTGGGTCTTTCATGCAGTACCTCACTCATGTCTGTAAAACCATAAAACATTTTTGAATTCTTAGTGATTAAGAGGCATACATACATGTAAATAGATGGTAGAGTTTCATTTCTTACATTTTTTGGTTGAACTTTTTGTTTAAAGGTCCAGTGTGTAACATTTAGGAGGATCTATTGTCAGAAATGGAATATATTATTCATAAGTATGTTTTCATTAGTGTATGATCACCTTCTTAGAGTAAGTCATTTATATCTACAGCTGCCGCAGATTGTCTTTCATGGAAGCCACCATGTTCCTACAGTAGCCCACAACGGACAAATCAAACACTGGCTGTAGATAGGGCTGTTTTCATTTTGTGTTAATACTGATGAACTATGTAATTTAATATCATTAAATCAGCAAAATTAGAATTCAGACTTTGCTGAGTTTGTGCTGAAATAAAACTCCCACTATTGAAGGTAACACTATGATAGCTCTCTAAGCTAAGCTACTACTGCTATTTAGTTTGAGGTAGAAATGGAATATTTATGTAGTTTGTGTATTATGTGTGTATTTTGTTGATTAGAAAGAGTTTTAAGTACACCCATATCATGAAAGAATAACAGATAACACAACCTGACCAAGGAAGGCTTTTTCTCCAAGGCAAGTCTCCCTGGATGCAAATTGTGCAGCTGCTTGTCATGTGTCAACCAAATCAACGCAAAGCCATGCAAACAGGTTGTTCCAATGTTCACAGGTTTCCCTCTGTTTATGTAGGAGTGTAGAGATGGCTCTGAGATGAGTGGATGGATAGATTTTGATTATCAGCTGTTGTTGACAGATATAGTGAATGTTGGGAGCACTGGGAAAGTCAGATAAGACAATGGACTGTCTGAGCAATGGACCACTCTTCAGGTAGTGAGGAACTGTGTGTAAGTCATACAGGTTTCCTACAGAAAGACACAAAAGCACATATTCACACTTCAGGCCTGTTGTAGACCACTCATAACCTAAACTGTGAACTGGCTAGTCCAATGTTCAATTTAATCTGACTGATATTATCTACATTGAACTTTCACATTAAATGTTACTACAATTCCCTGTAATCTTCCACAAATGATCATTCAATTCAATGCTTACAAGTAAACTGCATGCAAAGAAATTCTCTTCAACCTATTTGAATTTCAAATACTGTATCTCAAGGAAGCCCTGTACAGACTGGAGGCCATTTAAGGGTGTTTCCCTTCCCTGCCTTCTGCCCAGTGCATGCTGGGATAGGCCCCATCTCTGTGTCCCTGAATAGCATAGGATAGATTGATTTTTCTTATATAATTTGCCTTCAGAATGTAACTAAGGGTGAATTTCCAGTTTTTCAGTATTGGTATATATCAATTATATTGTGGAATAGATCTGACTGCTGATGGCCTGTTTTTACAGTATCACTGATGACGCAATCTGAAGTTGTCCTTATAGCCGTCATGGCTGAAGTTCGTGAATAATCACTTATAGAGGTCCATTTTCCTGGGTCATTTTCCAGTTGACTTCCATAGGAAAATTTGCCACAGTAACCCCCATACTACAGGCGTCATTTGGAACAGACTAACTGTAAAAGAAGACCTACAAGAAAAAGATTTTGCATAAGTGATGATAAAGAAAACACCAATAGTCTATTTCATAGATCTCTTACTGAGTTTAAGTCTCAGCTTCCCACAGAATACAGAGCAGGCAGACAGGGTGTAATGATACTACAGTATGTGTTTGTCAGTGCTAATTACACGGGCAAAGTAAACAACTTAATACACTCATACATGTTAAGGCATCTTAGTTCTTTTGGTAGTTGAAATTGTGTCATCATTCAGCTTTAATTTTGATTAAATAGTTTGGATAAAAAACAAACTTTTTTTACAGAAATAATCAGGTAAATTGTACTGTACATATATTACATACTTTTTTTTAATTTATGTTTTTACAACATTTTACATAAAATGTGTTAAAGTCAGAATAAAAAGACACCAGACAGAAATACGAAATGCATCTATGATTGTGCCGGTCGACACTTCCTGTTATCATTTAAGAATTCATGACACATTCAAGTCAAACACATACTGGAGCCGACTGGTTTCCTATTGTGCGCTCCTTCCTCTGATATCTTGAGACAACATTTGTTCAGATCAAATAGCCGGCGCGGGCTGTGATTTACACCGCTGCCCATTATATCACTGGCATAATGAGTGTGTGTGTGTGTGTGTGTGTGTGTGTGTGCAGGTAAAAATCAGACAGGATGTGTGGCTTGTGTTTAGCAGAGGGGACATTTATGAGAAATCTGTGTGTTTTGGAACCAGATGAGATAACTGTCTTCACACATCTTTGCTGTCAGTCCATTTGTTCTCCCTAATGCATGTTTTTAGGATCATTCTATCACCTGACAGATGCCGATATCTTCAGGCCATGCATGCTTCATCAGAACTTTGTGTTGTTACTGAGGTGGACCTGAAATACATGAAAAACACAAGGTAGATCAGAGATCAAGTTGGAAGTATTTGATAAATAAGTAAATGCCCAAAAGTACTTCCCTTAGCCATCCAGAAATAAGACTTGGTCTTACAAACTCTTTTTTTTAGTAACAAAACCTGACATGATATGGCAGTGAAGGAAACAACCCCTGAACTACTGACTCTTTTTGCCAGGTTCCCTACATTTCCCAGCATGCATTAGAGGCTTAAAAGCTGTTTTGATAGGGGGGATAGCACCATACAGGGGTTACCAAACAACCAGGGAGAGGGGCTTTCCTGTCATAACACAGTCTCTATCCAGCTTAGTAGTGCCAAGGTAAAGAGGCATGAAATGAGTCGACATTGCCTAAAGTGGGGAAGGAAAACAAAGGTTGGAAAGAAAGAAAGAAAGAAAGAAAGAGAGAAAGAAAGAAGATTTCAGAAGGCAAACAACTGTTTTTTTACATTTTTCTGTCTGTCTCTGCTCTTTTGGCCATCTTTCTGTCTGTTCACATGACCTCAGCCATTCTGGATATCTAGTGGCAAGCCACAAGACAGCCAATTCCACTTTACTGTCTGCCAAAGTAAGCAGCTGAACAAGGGTCAAAGGAGAGGAAAGAGTGTGTGTGTGTGTGTGTGTGTGTGTGTGTGTGTGTGTGTGTGTGTGTGTGTGTGTGTGGAGAGAGAGAGAGAGAGAGAGAGAGAGTGTAACAGAGAGAAGAACCACGTAAGAGCAAAAGATGAGTGGCTGTAGAGCTGTAGAGAAAACATGAAGCTGCTAAGGGGTGACTGTTTTGTGAGACCTGTTTGTGTGAAAATCAGTGTCAGAATTATGTGATCATTTAGACATCGCCTACCCATCATGCTCTACTGTAAGAAAGAGCAAAAATCTGAAATAATTTTCAGCTTATAACTGATATTGTTGAATTGAACAGGTAACAGTGTGAGGGATACAAATTAAAAATACAACTCAAAACAGGACATTTGTGGTTATATAAACTTGCTGTACAGTGAATTGTTGTAATCACACCACCAGAGGGCAGCGTTGTTCGCAAAATGCATATTGTGTGAAAGCTTTGTGTGTGTGTGTGTGTGTGTGTGTGTTTGTTTTACCTGTCCTGTTCAGGAGGTTTTGCCTGGCTCTGACAAAGGCCTGGATGTCAGCATCAGCCTGCTGGTCTCCAGTCAGGGGAATAGAGGAGGATGAGAGCTTTGTGGTGGACAGGGCCCTGAAATGTACATATGTTTAATGTAGTCTGATAATACCAGTGTAAATTCTTCAGTTTCTGTAACACAAAGTAGTTTATATTACTCTAACTTTATAGCAAATCCTTTTCTTTTATGTATGTGAGGAGGGGGACTGCTGTAAACTGTTTCAACTGTTCTTGTTTCAAAAGCTTAAAGGAAACTGTAACAGGTAACAGCTCCTCATATCATGAAGCCTCTGTATGAAACAATAGTATCTCTGTCCTACAAGTGGTTGCTGGAGACGACCAAAAGCATATATGTTATGCACTGAGTGTTTTACTGTGGTTGTAAAAAGGTAGTTTCAGCAGCAGCGTTCGAGCGAGACCCCAGGTCTTTGATTCGTAATAGAGTTTGGAGACATTACTTTACAGAGGAAATAAAAATGTATGGCTGGTGTTCATAAGAGGAGAGAAAACACTGCACAGCTATAAAATCTACAGGTCCACACTGTATGTATAGATTGAAGAGCTACTGCAAACATGTGGATACAGTATACTACTGTACTGTTTGCATTTGTGCGTACACTTGAAAAATGTACACATTAGACTGGTTACAAATACTGTAATTGTAAATGACATGTAATTTCTTATAGTCAGAAATCAGTGCTTCTTCTTGTTCCTACAGTGTGCTGTTTGAATGCTGTATGTGCAGGGTTTGACTCTAGAAGGATGTTTTCACATTCATCTAGTGAAAGTGGAAAGTCAGTCCTGGTCCAGTATGCAACTTGTACAGTGTGATGTAGAAGCTTGAAGCCACCAGTGCCCATCCACTGAGAATGGACTTTACAGTGAAGGAGAAGACATCTTGTGTCCAACAGGAAACACTTTATGAACAACATTTGTATATTCACAGATTCTGGAAGTGTTAATGAGGTAGAGGAGGTAGATGTATTTTGAAGGATTTAAATGTGGAATTTATACTTTTTTGTGAAAAATAAAAAAAACATATCAGACACACATTATTGTTCCAAGCAGACTATTTGTATATATGTCTTAATACATGAATGGAGGGAATCTAAGTGATGTGAAGTGAAATAATGTGAAACTATGTATTTCTGAACTGCAAATCCTAATCACATGGGTTTTCCATGGCACGTTGAATCATTTCATTAAAAAACAAATCTGCTGTTTTCAAAGCCATCCATTCATTTCCAACATGCCTAGCCAGTCTTCCATATACCTCCATTCAGATGAAGGCGCAAAGTCAGTCGCCCTCCTATCCAGGGACTCATCATGCCATGCTGGGACAGCTGTTAAAGGAGGTACACTTTTGGGGAGGAAGCTTCTGAAATTCACAGAAACGTACAATTTTATGAGGACAAAGTGAGATGTGCAGTGTACTTACTCTACAGGAAACAAATGAGAGATTCAGTTAAGCTAGGGCTGACCTGAGATCTTGAACGGAGAAGGTGGAAGAGTTTAGATTTGGGTCTGGGCCTAGTGGAGGGTCTCTCACAGTACTGCTCAGACCAGGTGCCCTGTTTAACAAGTCAGGACAGCATTTCATAAAGACTGTTACACCATAATCCCACAGATTATTCACAGCTTGATCCCTAGGTACAACACAGTAAAATGTTCCTCATATGTTGGGTGTTCAGTAGATACTCACTGTATCTCTCTGGTGTCTGCACTCATTGTCATTCTCCCCTTGTTTCTCAGAATCACCACTGATATATACTTGTTTTAACCACAAGAGGGAGCAACAACGCAAAGTAGATTGCACTCTAGCATTTTCTGCAACGTTCACCCACTCAAGTTTAAGACTTGTTAAGACCTTTTTAATAGCACATAGAATGCAATTAAATAAGAATGACAATAATCATTAATTTTAGCACTTTCCAGCAGTAAAGACCAATAATTCCTGATGATATAATGAATTAAATGAATGCAACCTGGACCCAGATAAGTGGCAGAAAATGGATAGATGAATTTGTTTCCTAGCCTGTAGCAAGCAGTAGTGACAGTGTTTGCTACAGGTTTGATGGTGATAACAGAAACTTCACAAAAAAGGAGTAAACAGCCTCCTGCATGATAATCAACTGTCACAACAATCCAATATTTAGCTTATAGGTGTGAAATGTCTCCTGACAGCCGATTTAAAACATTACTGCAACACACATCAGGCAAGAGAAAATATTTAAGACTTTCAGAAATAAAATGGAAGACTTTTTAAAACCTCCTAAGCTAGAACACATGCTGTGATGTGCAGAGAGCCCGGTGCAGTCTGAGTAATGATGATGTCTTCACACAGCCTGGACAAATATTGCGGTCGTAGTTTCTGTGAATGTGACACAATATTTGTGTCATCCAAACATTTGTCATGGCAGACTTGTGGCAGACACCAAATGTCAAACACCACCTGTATGATATCTAAATGGCCAATTATAATGTGATAAACCACTTCCTCTACTAACAAACAAACAAACACTAAGACATTACCTATCTATATTTGTTCAATATTTGTTTGGAAACAAGCACTGAGGAGCTGCATGTTGTTGGCAGTAATCAAGTGCTGTTCAAGCACAGATGGTGAGAGGGTAAAAATAACAATGAATTGAGTGGAAATGAGTCAGTGAGGGGAAGTTGTTTCCCCTTGCTGCTTTCTGTATGTAATCGGCTCAGTAGACTCAAAATGAATACATAATGACCACTGCATCTAAAAGTAATCAGGCAATCTGCTGGACAGACGGAAGGACAAAAAAAGGAGTCACTCAGCTTTTATCACTCACAGAGAATGTGTCTCACCCAAATCCTGGAGTGCCAGGTGAAGATGGCTGCAAGGTTCCACTCGGAGACCCTGCGCGACATCTGGTTGCTGCCTCTGACTCAGATTCCTAGTCACAATCATAGAGAAATTATTGAAATATTCCAGGAACACAATTCCATGGTGATAATGCTGATGACAGTTAAACACAATGTGGCTGTATGTAGCCAGAGGAAACAGAACACCTCAGGTATTCCATGTCCTCTAGCTCCATCATACCTCTGACTCAAAGTTTAACCAACTGCATGTGTACCGTTTTCCAACAATAAATGCTTGAACAAAGCTGTTGGATATCAGTATACTGGCAAGGAAAACTGCCTGCTTCCTGCTTGGAAAACCAAAACTGCACATGTAAGGCCTGTCTGTCCGACTTCCTCTTCTTTCCATTTGTCATTCGGTGATAAATTCCCAAACCTTGCTCATATGTGAGCGAGATATCGTTCTCCATTCATAAGATCAAAACCAAAGAGCAGAAGCCAGCGGTGTCTGCTGGTCAGATGTTCTGCTTAACATCTTCTTTGTGGTCAGTTTCCGAAATGTGCACAACAGCCATCAAGGCCAGGCAGAGTGTGTGAGATCAGACAGTTTTCTGTTAAATCATTGTTATTCATCATGTGGGAATATTTAACTCATCCTTCTATCCCAGCTTTTGCAAACATTGTCTTTCCACTATACTGTACAAGTCTCTTAAGTATATAGGCACGCACACAAAATTATTATTGAGGACTGAAATAAACACTGACTCACTTCTCATCCCCCACTGTGTTGTTGGGAAACCTCATGAACATGTTGTCCTTGTTAAGACTCTAACTGCTGAGACTATGTACTGATGCTGTTGCTGTCTTGCCTCTAAGCTGCTCTCCAGGCTCTTGTTTGGGTCACATGGAACACTTTAAAAATGTGTTTCCGTGAATTTGCCTCCTACATATCGTCCCACCAGGGCCCATTCAGCATGATGCAGAACAGAGGCTGCAAGGGTCACACCAGTGCCATAAAAGCCTCCAAAGTCAGAGGTACACATGCATTTCAGCTTGCACGCACACACTTAACAGAGGCCAATATTCAAAAAACTCACCAAAGAAAAATAAGCATGGAGACAAAAAACAAACAAACAGACAAGCCTTTCTATCTAACGTCACAAACATACCTATGGCACATTATTATGCTTACAGAGGCTTTATGTGGTGCTGTCACACAGATAAATAAATAGGTGGAGAAAAGTAAGGTCAGTCACCTGCACACTGGAAGCCTCCTCCTGGCTCCACCACTTATGGAAGTCCTTCTGGAGCTTGACCTTTGCCCTCTCCAACAACAGCTGCAGGTGCTCAATCTCCGTCCTTAATGCTTTCAGGCAGCCAATGGTACTCTTGTAACTGACGGGACATATTATCAGTGCCAAATTCCTCTTTTGTCCACATTACACAGCATCTGCTGTGTCTAATCAATCTGAGCAGGGTCTTGGGAGAAACTATGAAAACATTTGGTATAGTAATACATCAAAATGCACTTTTACCACACTCACGCCTTTTTTTCATGCTCAATGTGCTTGCACAGGTTTTCTTCCACTGGGTCGACCTCTTCTTCGGCCTCTGTGTGATTCCCCATTACACCTATGGTAGGTTTAGACATGCAGAAGGCATAGCAAATGTTATAAAGGACCATTGTGTAGGATTTAGTGGCATCTAGCTGTGAAGTTACAGATTGCATTGAACTGAATACCAATCGACTTACAAGCAAGTAGGAGAAACTACAGAGGCTGCAAAACTCACAAAAGGCACTATCTAGAGCCAGTGTTTGGTTTGTCTGTTCTGGGCTACTGTAGAAACACGGCGGGTTCAACATAGCAACGAAAACACAACGATTTTTATTTTCAGTGATTATACACTAAAGAAAACATACCTATGAATATTATATTCCATTTCTGCCAATAGATAAAAGTTAAACATGTGGAAATACTGTAGATCTAGAAGGGTCTCAATCTAGCCACATTTAAGTACTACAAGAAAGGACAATATTCTGAAAATATTTCCATTTCTAACATCATACTTAACAAAAACAATGCAAACAGCAGTTTCTATAAATGTTAATCATCATTTTATATCATCCTTGTTGTTTGCAGCCAAATATGAAGAGCAGTTAATTTGATATAAAACAATTAGAAAATAAATTAATAATAATAATCTTGCAGGTTGGATTATATTATATGTTTGACATCATGTAGGCCAGAGGGAGGGGGATTTCACGTCAGTTTGAGAACCCTACCATAGGTAAAATCACAAATACATTCATAATATTTTCTTGTGTTCTTGTGTCCGGTCCTGAAGCTAGCTAAGCGTGTGTTGTGTACATGTGAATGCAATTCACTCAAAGACAACATTTTAAATATTGGCCCTGGATAATAGAAGCCAGGCTGCTGTGATGTATTCTCTGATGGCGGACTCAAAATAACAAGAAAAGCCTTTGGCGCCTGAACTGGAGGAAGATGTTTGTGTGCTTTACAACCAGATTTCCTCATCAAAGCATTTATGTCACTGATCAAAACAGTCAGAAAAAGAGTAAATGAAGGAGTCTTTGAGCTGTGACGCCCAGTCTTTGGTCAGTAAGCTTTCAGTCAGCAATGGCCTACTGCTAAGGCTTTGAAGTGGGCACCGCTGCACATACAGCGCAAGGGCACCCACAATGTGTTCACAGGAGCTCAATATCAAAAAGATGATAAACAGAGTTCCTCAAAAGCTTCTACAAAAAGGCAACATGTGGAGATTTGGACATGCTGCGTTTAATTGCTTTACGTGTACATGCATTGTTTAGCTGTTGGTGTGGGTTGCTGCTTGTCTATAGACACATGGTTCAAGTTTTGCTGTGGGAATATCCATTGTCAGTTTGATCTTACCATGAGCTGCCCTCTGCCTCCTCTGCATCTCTAACTTCTTCTTCAGCTCATCTGAGAAAGGAAGGGAGGGGAAAAAAACATTTTAAAAACATTTTCCCACATTCCTACACAATTAATATCAACCAACTTGTCAACTTTATTCTCTTGCTTCCAGTTATCTTCACCTGCACTTAAAAGTTCACATTTAGAAAACAAGAGGTTTTGAGAACATAGTGTTATTCCGAGGAGAAGCATACATCAGAGGATAGAGGATGATTTATTGCAAGAATAGCCTGTTCCTGTGGGTGCTGCACAATGAAACAAACCACAGGTCAGGATTCAGTGGGAGTGCAATGAACCCCTCAAAGGCCTGCCAAAGTGACCACATACAGATCCCAGATCACTGAGATACTAAATATGCAAAATGCTCAGTGCAATACATGTTACTATCAAGTGTGATAATAACAGAATCACACTTGTTGGAGAGAGCACGGAAATCAACACAGTACAGTGTGAAACAGTGGCATTGTGGGTAAGAATTGTAGAGAGAATTTTTATTCATATGTAAATGGTGAATTGTTTGAATGTGACTGAAAGTGTGTGTCATCAGTACAACTGACAATTGTCTTCAACAATGGAACTGATTGCAACAATGCCATGAAGCACTCTCACACGTAAATGTAACAGTATTTTTTTGTTAGAGGTGCTTTACACAAAGCCTTTCATGCTGGTTTAATGTCATGAGTTAAGCCTCGGCACAATGAGCCCAACCAAAGAACAACTGTTCAATTTGTTCCCGTTCATCAACATTTAATGCATGACCAAAGATGTACAAGCAGAGCTATCATGTGTCCTGTCAGCTGATATTTCCAGATGTTAAGTAAATGACAACACAGCAGGTCTTGCCCAATAGAGGAGTACATACAAAAAAACTCCACACTATCGCCTGACTGACACTGGATTTCTGAGGCTGATGTCAATATTTGGGAGATCTATTGGCCAATCTTAATTATTTGGGACACCTAACACAAATAATCTTGATATACAGTACATCCCTTAGATTTGTTAGAGTGGGACATTTTTATAGTGTAAAAATCAACTTGTCAGTGCTCCCTGGTGCACAAACTATGCGAAGGTGACTGTTTCTGTTCCTAAATGAACCTCAAACCCACTTTGGCACTTCTGTACTGCCGTCCGAGTACACTGATATAGATATATCTACAAGAAGCAGACATCAGCAAATATATATCGACCTGGCCGATTTATTGGAGTCGCTTGACTCCAAATACCACTTCTTTTATTCAGCATCAGACATTCATGAAATGTTTCCCACAGGAGTCATTGAAGCATCACAGTTTTGTAATTGGTGCATCAGCTCCATTTCTCCGAATCCAGCACACAAGAACTATTGTGTAGCAACAACAGCGGCAATCATCTTGGTTTCGGTGTTGTTGAGTGGGGGAGAGATAACTGACCTTGAGATATATGTGTCTAATCCACACTAAAGGAGTATTCCAGTGATTTAGTATAGCACTTCCATAAAGCTAGGGCAAAGACAAGAAACAGAAAAAAAAAAAAAAAAAAACAAAACAAAATGATAAGCAACATAAATCAAAATATCCTTAATTTTAGTCTCTAATATGGGTCAAATTCTATTTCAATAATGTAACTCAATAGCGTCTTTCATTAGAACAAGAAGAAGAAAGAGAAGAATATTATCTTAACTTAAGTCAGGACATACTGCTGAGTTATACACTTTCACAATGCTCAGAATGAACTCTTGTGACTCCAGTGGGCCTGGACGCAACATGGGGGAGGGTTTTTGGGTCACTGCCTCTAATACTGGGTTAACATATGGGTAAGTAATTTGTGTCTGTTCTTCTATTTTCGCTGTCTCTTTTCCCCTAATCAAAATAGTTAATTGTCCTATTGAAGATACTGAATTTGTGGCAAAGGAGAACTGTAAAATAAATGGACTAAAACATATTGTATAGGCACTATTTGAGGCAATTACTATACACACTAAATGACAATACTAGTTTGTATAGAGGTACATTTACTACAAGACTACAAAAGGGGAGGATTTCACATTAAGATCAAAGATGGTCATAGTGAGTTAAATGTCCAGAGCATGGGAGTCAGTGGCATCTAGCCGATTGCAACGCCCTAGCCTAAACCTACCATTCCAAGGATGTAGGAGAAACTACAGGGACCACATAAAAATGCAAAAAGGTCCCATCTAGAGCCATTGTTTGGTTTGTCCATTCCAGGTTACTGTAGAAACATGGCAGTTCAACATGGCGTCTGTAGAAGATAAAAATGGCTCATTTTAAGGTAACGAAAACTTTAAATAAATAATTACAAGGCAGACTAAAAGATAAAAGACACATTGAAAGGCAGATTCTTATGTGGTGAGTTTCCATTACAATCCCTCAGGTCTTACACACATGGTGCCGAGCTACTGCTCTGCAATATGATCCTGTCGCCAATCTAAAAGCTGAGGTCCAAGCTCCAAAAAGGAGAAATCCAGATGAAGTATCATTTCTTAAAAAATGGGGTGTGGGAAGCTACTTTTTCATGCACCGACCTCCATAAAACAGTTGGATTAGAGCTCTTGTTTAGTAAAAGAGAAGATGAAGACGCTGAAAGCATTTTAAGACAAACATCTGTCCTGCTGAAGTGACCTTGGGTAAAGCTGAGTCTCTTACAGAGGTCCTGGGGTTGATAAAGTGTGACATTATTATCACAGACTTCAGGTTGAGTTTTAAATCAGCTCTCAGCACTCCACTGATAAATGCTTTTAAACTGTTTGCAATCTGCTCAACTTTCAAAATTACTTTTACTCTTTACAAACACACCAAAGTAGACCACTATTGGGGGTTTCAGCAAACAGTGGAGTTAAAATGGATGATGTGAAGTGTTACAAATGACACTGTTTTTACTAATGCCAATAGAGTTATGAACCAGGGTTTGGGAACCCCTCATGAATGTCAGAATTCAGGGTAGAATGTAAATGAACTGAGACGCCCTGTGGCTTTACATTGTGGTCAGGTGGGCAGCCCAAGTCTTCTAACTTTCTCAAACATGACCCACAGCTAATGCATGTGTAGTCTTTCACACATAACATAAAAGGATTAAGAACTATTTATGTTGTGAGAATGCCATGTTGACAGGGTAGAAAAGTACAGGGAACATGTAGCAGCAGCATAAAATGTGCATGGGGACAATGTGGCTTGAATCCATCAACCATGGCTTGTACTGAAACTTTTTTAAAACCCCAAGGCCATGCACTTACACATGACAACTATCTTTATTTGTCAGGGTCATGGTGCAACAATTGGATGTGCTTTATACCTAAATTTTTCCCTCTTAGATTACAAGACGCAGATGCACATATGCAATACTGTTCATTATTCTGCTCAAGGAATCTTAAATATAGTGCTGTTTGCCATACTACAAAAAATAGACATATCTCAGTGATAACTATTTGGTCACAACATCCTGTTCAAGCACCAAAACTGCAGTTTAAGCAGTGTCTCTAACCTTCAATGACAAGAACAAGATTAATTTGCATACGTGTCAAGTAATAGTGGTGTGTGGCATGCTTACACTTGAGTGCTCCTGTACACTTTCCAGGACAAGTCTGCGGGCCCGACACCGCAACCTCTTCCAAACCATGCAGGGTTTCCCCCCACGTCGTCAGGAGACGTGCCATCGTCTTAAAGGACCGGTTTCAAGCTACAAGCCTCAATAAATATTTGGTGATTTTTGTGGCCTGGAGGTTAAATGTGATATTCCGCACAAATACCACAGGGACATCGAGATCCAAGGATCATACATGCTATTCAGCTTCTCAATATCTGGGTGGGTGTTGATTCAAGTGTATTTGAAGAATGAACACATCGTAAGTAATATGAAAATCTAGGCAAATCTAATTTGACTAATAAACAACCACCACTAGAGTTGCATTTATAAAAGGAAACATATGAAAGGTTGTTAAGATGTAGCATTCTGATTTTATTGGACAGCTGTGTTCATGACAGAGTTATCTGAGGCCTTAACCTAAACCAGGAACATTACATAAACCACTCTAATGAGCAGCTGATAACATTGCGAGTAAATCATAGCAACAGTCATGTAAAATCTAGTGGCCGCTGGTTACAAAGACCACATGCAACGCAGAAATCAAGTTACAGTCTTCCTGTGATACTGCTTCGCAAGTGCTCTGGAACAATCTTTTTGGCAATGACACATGTTTTAGACTCCAACAAATTTTTCCTTGAAATATATCCCAAAATCCTTGGGTCACTTCAGTAAAGGTGAGCAAAGGATGAAAGTGGGATACCAAAGCAGTTACCAGATGCTCCATCACATGTGGCAGAGAAATCATGAGATGCTGCTCATTTCCAGCTGCCCTACACCTTTCATGATGTAGAAAATGTGCATCGTTGAATAAATATATATCCTTGCACTTTCTGGACCTAAGGGCTTGGAACATATATGCTCCTCTAGTGGGACTGGATTCCAGAGCCATATCCTGTGGCCAAGAACAATAGTGTAACCCAGGGAAATGTTTAGACACTGATGTCTCCATGGGCTACCGCCTCTCCCTTTCTCCCCTGCTACTGACCCTCATGCTGGGTACATCCATCAGGAAAAGCAGCACAAAGCTTTTGTCTATATTATGCTAAATGTTTCCATGTTCTACATTAACTATGAGACACAGGTAGTTTCCAAGCAGGGCTTCCAAGATGGCAAGGAAACACACGGCTAAATATTATGGTACTACTTTCCATCCAGAAGAGGCAACCACGTTCCACTAAAAACACTGTCTCTCATCTAGGAAGAATGCAGCTCCGTGTACCTAACAATGTAATAATATCTGACAGCATCAAGATGTTTTTTGGGTATCTTTCCAAATTTGAATAAGTTGAAGAATTCAAATGTTAAATCTTCTCAAAAAATGATATTCATTTAGTAAATCCAGTTTCTCCATAGGTCTGCAGAACACATTTAAAGAGTTTAATATTCTATATGATGTCATAGCTGATTTCTGTGTGATGTATGATACACGGCTGTGTCAGCACCTCATGGACTGAGTGCTGAAAAAAAAAAATTTAAATTAAATTCCAAGGGTGATAAGTGTATGCTGGCATGTATGAGGGTAACAGCCCAATGCTACCAAACCACCAAGCGTGATCTGAGGCAGCGATGGTGCCAGGCACTGGTGTGAGGCAAACCTATCCATTTCAATGGCATGTGAAATGAGCCACAGACACACACAGTCTGGGGAAATTCATAAATGTAGCTTGCAATAGTAAATGCAAACCAGATCGAGGCCTAATAACACATTTGAACTGCTTTGAGTTTACTGGAAAATTCAACCAAAGTGCAGAGAAATCATTTAAAATTATTGCCGCCGGTGACAGGGCTTGTCTCTAAGTAGTCCTGTGAAAGCAACTCATGATGATACATTACTGAATTAAGTTACTGGTATTGTGACTTCAAATCAATGTGTCATCACTTAACTATGATGAGGCATTTTCTTTCAAATTTTAAATAATTAACTAACCAATAAACAGACACTTTGGGGTGGATTAGAAGTAAATCACATTAGTTTTTTTGTATCCTTGTACACTGATTTTTAAAAATTAGTAATTTTACTAATCAGTTAAAGTGACTCAATGTGTAACATTTAGGAGAATCTATTGGCAGAAATGGAATATAATATTCATTGGGATGTTTTTGTAATCATCTGTGACCCAGATCAAACACAGCCAACCCAATGTTATGTGACCAACAGGTGCATGCTGGGTCTGGCTAATATGCTCACAGTGGACCTCCAGGTGTAAAGCCCCTTTCTACTGTTTTTGATCATGTCAATTGCTACTGTTCGGAGCTCATTCAACTCAAACACAGCAAGCTATCCATAGCCCTTTTTATTTTGGTTAAATCTTGGTGAGTTTCGTCCTCTTTTCTGGTTAATTATAGTAAGGTTCCACTGAAGATGGCAAGTGTATATTTATAATTGATATTAAGCTGTATGCATAGGCTGGAAAGTGCCCGACTACAGAAAAGGACTGTCGGTTTAGAAATATGTGCTCTGTGGTGTGGGCCAGGAACGATGTGATGTTTTTTCCACTAGTGTATATTGACATATTAATTCGCTATATTTTGTAGGCTTAATGTGTTCTTTAATGTAACAGTCGTCTCATAACCTTATTGTAATCATATGAAAATGTTTCTCGTCTTTTACAAATGGAACGCAGTAACATGTATTCAGAGTACATTTCAAATGTCATTTAGTTTAAAGGGGAACTTGGCAATTCTAGCCATTTCTTCGCTGGTTTTCACTTTTGTCGTCACATGTTTTCTCAACGAGCTCCCCCTACAGCTCTGGGACGTATATTTCAAAACACTGTCATAAAAAAACTCACTTGCGGCACCCTCCTCCCCCTTTCTACCGCTGCTGATGTGCATTTGTTGCCGGGCAACTTTTTCGTGTGGAGCAATGTCTACCGAGGTGGGTAATACATTCATCGACGCTTGTTCTTATAGCCGGCGTGGCTAACCGGTATTGAGGGGGGCGTGTGCGTTTATGTGGAATTGCTGTAAAGCAGTTCGTGTTTCTCGCTCGTTCTCGCTTCTCACGATACTTCCTACTTCCAACTTAGCGGGACGGTAGTCCCAAAGTTGCAAGGTTAGTTTTCCGCCTGGGGACGCTAGGGGGAGCGGGGAAAGTCACCATTTTCACCGGAACAGGCCATTTAACCATCCAAATGATTTCTAAACGGGTTTATTTAGTTGAAATAGCTGCCAAGTTCCCCTTTAACTTAAGTGAAGTTTCCTTAAAATGATAGTACTTTTACTTCAGTACCCCTTCCATCACTGCCAAAGGACTGTCCACAGTGTCAAAGTGTAGACATGCAGTAGTAAACACATGCATGCGTGTTTCACAACAGAGAAACTCCGGACAGAAGCACAGTAGATTTCTTGGAGGTAAACTCCATAATCACTCAGCACTGACTGAAGCTAGGGTTTATGCCAGGCCTCATTTTGGCATAGTAAGGCTACCTGTCAAGGACATTGCCCAGAAGAACACATGGGTGTGCTTACAGAGTCGTCATAAAACAGCTTGGGCCAGGCTAGTAAAAAGCACAGGTTGGAAGACTAGGTGGGTGGAAATCAGAAGGTCTCTTGGTACTGGTTCAGGAATGTGCTGAACGACATTTCTGCACTCCAGGGAAACGGAACCCTGACAGTGACGTGCTTGTAAACGTTTTCCAGGCAGGTAGGCTGGTGTCTTTGGTGGACCCAGAGAACATTAATGGAAATGATCAGCGTTCCGTAGGGCTTACACCACAGCCTTTGTTAGCTCTAAGGATAATGATGTTGATGACAATGAAATGTACTATTGAATGCTTTCACAGCTCCTAAATGTAATGTGATTTCCGGAAGGCACTTTAACATCTGTTGAGACAACTTACTGATTCTGTTTCTGGCTTCATTCAGTTGCTCCCCAAGTCTTCTGGCCTCAGCTGACCTGTTCAAAAGAATGCAGGTGTTAATGGGCAATGCAGCAAAAAGAGCAAAACGGCCTCATACAGGCGTACCAAACCTTAAGGTTACCTTGGGTTCAAGTAAGTACGTTACGTGACCTAAGTCATGTAACTAACATAACTTAAGACTTTAAATAAGTAAACTCGACTTTTGGTTTCACATAGCACGAATCCTGGTCTCCTGGGTGAAAGTACTGTGTTTGTTTGACCCACAGACAGTGGTCAGTATCAGTTGTCTAACAAGTTGTCCTATATGACTAACCTCTGTTTGAGAAGGTTCTTGTTGTCTTCAATGGCCAGATGGTCCTCATGGTCCCTGATGAAGGTCTCAAAGGCCTCTTGCTTCCCCATAGACAGCTGTGGACCTGAGAGAAAACAAATCCAGAAATAAGGCCTATGCTTTATTCTAGTAATCAGAAGCTTCTGTTAATATCAACAGATTCATACTCAACTCAAACCTACCATACAAAGTACCCTCCAAACAAGATCGCATGCTTGTCATGCTACTGAAAATAATCTACTAAGTATGGGAAGTTGTGTGAGATCCTGCTGTGCAGATCTGAACAGTGAGACCTGAGCTGTGCCTGTTCCCACATCCACAGGTACTCAGCTCCAATCTGGCAGCCAGATGCCAACCTCTCATACAGTTGACCTCCCACCTATTACTAATTACAAAACTGAATGACTATTAGCCTTCCATTCCCTGTTTAAAGAGAACATAAACACAAATATAAACACTAATTATTAACATGTCAGCATTACATGGCGGATGCTCCCCACCGAACTTTGGCAACTTGCCACATGTAAGGAAAACTACATAATTTTGGACATAGCATTGTGCATTTTTTCAACAGTTCATGCTGATTATGCACAGCGTTTTTGTTAACCTGTGAACATGTGATTTAATTTAAAATGACAATATTTACCAATGACAATCACACACTATTTGAAAAAGGGAAGGGAGAGAGGAGACACTGTGCCAAATAATGAGGGCCTGTGGAAGTGCCCCATTCCAGTGAGCCAGCATGCACAATATCAGGGCCTTAGAAGTGGCTTACCTACAGTAAATAGAGGGTAGTCATTATTAATGTTGCTGATTCTTATTAATAACACCCCTGCTTTCCCTTCGATGTCAAAATGTCTGCTGTGAAAACGACCTATTTACTCTGAAAGGAGACCAAAATTATATGTAGACAATGCATCATGTTGGCAGGTAATTATTAAGAACTGCTGCATGTAGCATAATCAGTTTTTCAGAAAACATGCTTGATGCCTTGTGGTGATACCCTAGCTGTGTTTGCAGCCCAATGTATGGCAAATCCGAGCTGAATTTTGAGTAATTTTTCTAAAGAAACTGTAAATTAATGCTTATTTTCATCCTCTACCGTTACGTGATTATCAGGAGCTGGTTCATTGAAATAAGCAGTAGGTTGTGACAATTCTCCAGTTGGAACGAGAAACCAGAAGAAGAGAGCAACAAGATTATGTAATTAAAAGAGCGCCAGTGAAAGTGAAAAACAATACATGAAACAATTTCTATGTTAATTAATATGAGGAATATTACATCATATCTGAATCACGGATGTATTATGGAGCCATGGGAACTATGGAGAGACTGTCGGAGAGAAACAGCTGATTATTCGTGGGAGTTAAATGTTTGCTACATTAGAACTTATTCAGAAATAGTGTTTCCGTTAAGAACATTCAACTCAATAAAAACTCATTTTCAAAATGTTAAAAAAACACTTCAAACAAGTGTAAATACTTTTGGTGAATTTGAGGAAGTTAAAATTTTGCCGTTTCCATCAATCAACCTTTTCATGGCTATTGATTCTTAGGAGTTTCGTTGTGCTTTCTAGCTTCTGGAGTTCAGAGAAACAACCACAGATACATCTGCCAATCCATCAAAGCTCTCTCTCACCTTGACCAATCAAATTTACAGTAAAACAAGTTCTGTGTCTCCAACAATCCAACATGTTTTTTTTCCCTGCACTGGATTGTGTGTGACCTAATCTTATAATAGAATACAAACCACCATTATTTTGCAAGATTTCCGTGGAAAACCCAAAGCTTCACAATGACTTCCAATAAATTCCCCCCTTGTTAAAATGTGTGGATTTTTGTGACAAAGCTGTTCTAACCAAAGACATACACAGGACAGTAAGTCATGTGAGATTAATCGTAGGACAGTTAGGAATTTTGTTTCTTTATTTTTGGAAGGTCTTGATTGAAACCAGCAGGCATCTCACAGGCATACAGTGTGTTGCAAGAGCCAAACTCAACAAATCAGTTGAAGAGGTTTCTTGAGGGAAATGCACTCCGTTCGACTCTTGTATAAAGCAACATTCCAGGAATATCTCAGACTGATATGACATCATATTATGTTGTACTAACATAATTTGTGGGGTAATGAGATCACATGGACCTTAGGCCAACTTTCCTAATTCTTCTTTTCCGTGCTTCAAGTGCTGACAAACCACAGAGGTTTTACAGGAATGTGTCGTGACTATTGTTGCTGTTTCAACAAATTTTTGAAATGAAATACCAGCAAAGTGAAGTATGATGGTACTTTTCCATCGGTTTATCAGAAAAAAAATGTCTGACACCAGTTGTTAACTGTTTGCAGAAAAGGTCAGATAGAAAAATAACAATATTTCGGGTACATTGTATGTTCCTACTGCAGCCTTTTGCAGGGGACATTAGTATTTGACTTACTGAAGTATCCGTATTGTCTTAGACTTAGAAACGTGTGTAGGGTCTGGCGGAATCATCAGCGTCTCATTACATGCTAGCAGGATTTATAGTAAGATCTAACTCTCCCTGTAGGTCTCAAGTCTCCTTCAAGTTTCTGCATGCTTAATACAAGTCATCACCAGCCTGAATTACAACAGGGACACCTTTTCCATCCATTGGCCACCTTTTTATACTATAAAAACTGAAATCTTAAGAGCACGAGACTGAGACACTGTATGTCTCTACCTGTGAAAGAGGACAATGAATACAATAAATAATTTAGCCTCACAGAGATATTTTAGACTCAGAGGAGTCCAGTTTGCAAGTGCACACAGTAGAAATCCAGTTCTAAGAGGAACTCAAAATCTTGTAATGTGTGCAGACTCTGCAGAGACAGTGGTCATCCGAAAGAAAGCCAGAAAAAAACCTCCCAAATGTTCACATTTTATTCTGTGCTGGCAAAGCTAAGAGCCCAGTACAGAAGGATGTATTATGGAAAGAGTAGAGTCAATTTTACGCCGTTCAATCAGCATGAATGGTTTCCATGGAAAGGTCATCATCATTACATTTACAGTCAATCTTCAGGGGACAACAATTACCCTCACTGTAACCATAGAGGCTGTTGGCTACAGCACCACAGCCCTCAGATTAAACCTAAATTAAAACATACATAAACATTCAGTGACCCATTGAGCATGAGGACAGGATAAGTGTAGTGCATTTGTTTTGAATTAGGATAGAGTAAAGAACAATGATCTAATGTGCGTATAGTTTGGTTATGAGTTTCCAAATGGGTCATGGAAAATAGGCACCCCAGATGTGAAACATATGATATATAACGCTGTGTCAATTGTGTGTTTCTAGGTTATTGCACATTATGTGTATTTAAGAGGAATATCAACATGTATTTGAATGTTATGACCTCTTGCAAAACTGTTTAAGACTCTAGTGTTAACTGGTGCTTTAAAAAAATCCCTGAAACCAGGTGTGCTGCAGGATTCCATGCTGTGAAAGTCAGAAACACTAAAGAGTGAGAAGTGTCTTCCCTGACCCTCCTGGACCTGCTCAATGTGTTCCTAAAAGCTTTTGCTTCCAAAGTGCAGAGCATTCCTGGACAACATCAAGGTTTCCCTGCTGGTTAACAGCTGATGAAGTTGGAAGTGTGTTCTTATCACGGCAAATGGTCGCAAACGGAGCAGAAAGAGACAGAAATTTCTCATGGAGTGTGAGAAAAGTCGATGAACATTCCAGAGTGGACACGTAACTGCTAGCAGGGTCAGGGGATTTTTGAAGGGGCAGCAACTTTTTCACAACAAAATGGATAATATTTCACAGTACCAATATTGGTAGAAAAATAACCTAATTTAGTCATTGCATAGTCTGTGTTTATGAGTGGTGTAATCAGTCAACAGTTCATCACTCCAGTAGCATTTTTCTTAAGAACCGACACTTTGACCTACCAACAAAATCCAGTCCAGTTATAATTAGTTAGTGTTTGCTTTGCATGGGAAAAGAGAAGAGACCCAGTTAAACAATTAAAGCAACCTGGCAAATGTGAGCAGCCTTGAGTCATTCTCTTACTTTGCAGTCAATGAGTCAGGATGTGTAAATGTGGTATAGGGGCACCTTTTCAAGCATTACAACGAGAAGCATATTTAGCCGTAAGCACAAACTATGAATAAAGAAAAAAATCCTAATATAGAGTTGGCCAATAGGACACATCTCTGCCGTAGATCTTGAAATTACTGTAGATAAAACTAGAGTCCAGCTGTAGTTTACACCCATGTCTGTCCAGACTAATTTAATTTATGTGGTGAAGAGTTTAAATGTACGGATGGAATGGAAGTTAATCATTGTATTGGTGATACACATGTATTCCCTTAAATGTACATTATTGAACTGATTAATAATGAAAGATTATCATAGATGTATTGGCCAAACAGGTAGTATGAAAAAATTGATTCCTACAGAGTATAACTATATAAATTGCGGTGCTTTTGTTTTCTCCTGACATTTTTAGACGGGAAGCCTCTATGAGCAGTAGGGAAACTCACTCACAGGATCGCCATTAACTAAGCACGCTCGAATAGGATGTTTGAAATCACGTCATTCGTGAAATGTCCGACCAACCGTGAAATATGTTCGCAATCTCCCCTTCTGTTCCTGAATTATGGTGTTAAATAATGGCCAAAAAGTGTTTTTCCTGGACATTATGATGTTGACTTTTGACCGACAAATTCTTATCAGTTCATCCTTGAGTGCAAGTGAACATTTGTGCCAGATTTGTAGAAATTCCTTTAAGGGATTCCTAAAATGAGAGGATGGGATGGACATATGGATGGAAGAACGGACAACCCGAAAACATAATGCCTCAGCTATCAACACAGAGGCATAGAAACACAGGAACATAAGGTGGTGACACTCCAGACTATGGCAATGCCATTGATAATGATAGTAATAATAATGATAATGATAGTGGATAACTTTAGACCCTGAACATCTTTTAGACAAGCTCCCATCTGATTCCCTCACCATGACCATCTTTTTGAAAAGAATGCAATATTATAAACAGTCAACAATTCCTTGCTTAATACATTCTTTAATACTAATTCCACTAAACAATTAGTTCATTATTATACACTTCTATCTCATATGACAAAGTGTGATGAGGAAATGTGAGTATGAATCCATCATCTGTACATTATGAATGAGGGACATGATATCACTCAGTATGGGAGGAAACAACCATAACAATATAATCTGAAGGCAGTATTGCTGACTTTTTGGGTGCCAAAAGTAACTCTGCACAACATTTATTTAGGAACTCAAGTTTTATGGTCAGAGCCAAAAAGATTCTTTATAATGACTTATGAGTCTGACAGAAATGACCCATGTCCTCTCTCATTTGATTAAGAAACAGCTGGATTATTTATATGTAATATTTCACTGTTTGGATTAAACATGGCTCTTTGTGAAATCAGACCAACTTAAACACTGCAGGTCATGTAGGTATTTATGATCTGGTCATTGAAGAAAACAGATGCTCACTGTAAAAATGTGTACACTAAATGTACTGCAAGCCCAAATTTCTTTCATGATCATATTTAAAAACACATACAGACAGCATTATCAAGAGTTATCACCATTGTCATGGTTGTAAAGTAGCTGCAGGTCAACCAAGTGGAAGTGGAATCCATAGAGGTCATCACGTCTCATGAAATCAGGGATTGAGAAAAAAAAGAGGACTTGTGGGGCCAGGTGAAAACAAATCCTCTGGTGAGATGATCATTCTAGCTCCATATTAGATCACATACCGTTCTGAGAGACTAATACATATGGCACATCATTTATCAGTGGTTTTATAAACCACAGCTTTACAGCCATCCATCGCAGTACTCCTCATTGTCCCTTCAATGAATGACTGATTTGCTCACTAATTCTGACTGGACTGAGTTCAAACATGTGTTTGTTTTTTAATGGGCTCTTCTTTCAGAGACCCTGTTTGCAATTACCTCTCTGCTGGCCTTATTACCGCACTGGGCACCATTACACAAAAATGTCGAGGAGGATGAGGGAGCTGTGGTTAGCACAGACAGGAGCGCAGCCTCAGTTTGATGAGTTGCTGGCTCTCTCCCCTGTGCCCGATGGCTATGACCAAGCTCGTTATAAAGGCTCAGGTTTATCATCACACTTAAGGCCCCACTTAACCAAAATTAAACAGGAAAAGCTAAATAAATGCTGCCGATGGCTAGGGAGCATATCACAAAGCTTGATTGGCTTGACTTTCAGCAACCTCCACATTCCTGTTACATCTAAACCCAGTTCATCTCTGAAAAAGTTAGTGGAGAAAAAGTAAAAAAAGTTGCATTCTGAAGTCCTCTGCCATCTCTGAGTCTACGTTATACTTTCTCTTCAGTGACATTATGATCTAAACCTTCTGAAGTTATGTGGATAACTACATGAAAGTAACCTAATCAACTGCAACACTGTGATGACAATTCAAAACCACTTGTATGAGTTAACTGCCAGTTACCGACCTTTGAGCTCTCCGTACATATTTGCCAAAAGGCAAATGTTGTTTACCTATATGAGGTATATTCTTGTATTAGAATAAACATAAATAATATTTAGAATTTAGCAATTGCTTTTCATTTGACATGGACACAGTGCCTCTAAATGCAACTGCCTCAACAGTGTTTCTTGTGTTTATATTGCAGCATTCTTGGCCCTTGGTCTCTGCTTCATGTTCCAATGCAAGCATTATAGGTTTTAAACTCATCAGCTTTTCATTAGCAACAAATTACAGGTTTAATATACTCTACTGTCTAATGCCGCTTTGCTGACACAATTCAACCGGGCCACTTGAGTGACCTCTAAAAAGGAAACTCTTAAATATGTGCAATCCCACTGATGACATTGTTTAGAAATAAGACAACATAGGGAGCTCTGGGATGTCAGACTCCTCGTCGTGCAGTAAAATCCAGAAATCAAGGATTTGTCATGGCCCACGGGCAACCTCAACAGGCGCACTGAAAATCAGCATGACCGCAAAGAGCTGCCCGCATTCCAATCGAGAAAGATCACCTGTCTGTGCGCTTAGCTCATAATTCATCACAAAGCCGTCTCTTCTTCCAGGTCAGAAAGACTGACTGACTTAATGGAGTTGACATCTATGAAAATTCTGTTGAATTTATACAGTTCTTTATTAGTTCCTGTGGGATACTTTCACCCATTATTACTGTTTAGTTGCAGAGAGCAGCAACAACTCAATTTCTGAAGAGTATTGCCTTATACCTAAAATGCATGTGTTTTGAGGTAGGAAGAAACCCACACAAACAGAGGAAACGTTCACATTGAATGTGCATAGCTGGCCCTGGTAGGGTTCAAACCATAGACTGTATATAATCATGGCTCCACTTTCTTCCACTGTTCAAAAATGAAGCCAAAGAATCCTGGATACGAACACTGCCATCTTGTGCCGGTGACATCATTTGGAGCCAGAGTTGGCGCAGTAGTGATTGGGGTTGGCACCGTGGTATCAAGGTTCCACCCATACATCCTCTCAATCGCGAGCAGGGCTCAGCTGTCAATCACGATATGGAAAATGACCACTTGAACATACATTTCTCTGATTGGTACTGTTTGGCCCATGTGTTCACGGTGGGTCTGATGTTGGGTGACTGTAATTGTATCTTATACAGCAAGCTTCCAATCTATATCCTTTTTTTTTTAAAAAAAAAAAACAGCAGTGAGCAGCATGTTTAATTAGTACCATCGTAAAGGGTTGGTTTACTAAAATTACAACAACTAAAAAAAGAAAAAACATGATTGTTTTTATGAGCCATGGTTTTAAGATATCCGTCTCTGACAATCCTCCCACCACCCCAATACAATAACGGTGGGTCTGATGTTTGTGAAGTTTTTAAAGAAAAAAAATTAAAGCAACATCTTTTTCGTGAGACAGTATTCCTCTAACTTTGGATAGTCAAAATTGCTAGAGACAGCTTTCATTAGAACTACTTTCTACTAAAAAAAGAAACAGCCCCAATAGTTTTGGGCTGATGGCAAAGTCTGATATCTCAAAACCCTGTAAGTTGTAAGTTTAAAAAAAATGTGTCTTTTCTAATTTAGTTGAACCAGCCCTTTAATGTGGTAGACAAGCAAAACAAAGATTAAAGCTTCTTTAAGTACCTCTTTTCATGTACTGCATAGCTCGTCCTCCATGGTCTGCAGAGATGGTGTCTGTGCTTCTGTATCCGGCATCCTGGGCCCTTTTCTTCTCCTTCTTCAACATCTTAACTAGGATACCTGTAGGCACTGAGTCAAGGACTCTACCTGTCTTTCCTTTGGACAAAGTATTGGATGGAAAAGAGATCTTCCACTTAATTGCACATGCATGTCAAAGGACTCATTTCAACAGATGCTGACTGCTTAGAATTTGATGTACAAACAAACATTAGTGTACACCACTGAATACACTTTTCAGGATGTGAGGACAGTTCTTCCAAAAATTCAAATAAGAGTTAATTTTGTCATGATTGCTAGCCTCAAAGTGACAACATACAGTAGAAGGGTAGCATCTGCAGTGATTTCCTAAAGACAGCAGGCTTCATTGTGGGCTTTTAATAACGGGTGCTGACATGTGCTCAGTGTCTGACCTCACAAGCTCAGGAGCATGTCATGGTCTGGGATGAATCAGCGGAGAGAAGAGGAGCCAGGGAGGCTGCAGAGACTCTACCGAGATTCCACAAAATCTCCTCCCGCTGATGAGGTCGTATGTACTGTACGTGTAGATGTGTCGGTAAGTCTGGGTGCGCTTGTGTGAGTGTGACAGGGAGAACTGAACGGCTAAAAGAGGAGGCGAGAGGCAATAGCCGCCGCTTAGATCCACACTTTTATTGCCATGACACGTTTCTCTTCTCCATATGCAATGTCTCTATGCATTAGGACAATTTACTATAATCGTTTTCCCTGTACTTTGCCTCTAACTCTACAGTACTATTTTGTATTAGATCAACTGCCTCAAACTGCTTTCAGCTGGCCTCACATATTTTTTAATAATAATGCACACAGCAGAGCACAGACTCATGCAGCACTTTCAAATCTGATTATCAAATTGACGCCTGGCTGCTATGCTTCATGACTTGTAGAGTTACGTTTACTGTATAACGGGAGCACAGCGCTGTTTCCACTACTGGTGAGGAAGGAGAAGACGGTGCTAGCAGAGGCAATTTTTTTTGCAAGCAGAAGTGCTGACGGAGGGAAAATTGTTATTGCGTGAACTAAAGTTGCATGGGAAAAGTGTATAAAGAAAAACATGATCAAGACATTTTACAGAAAGTTGCCAAGATTGCTTTTAAGATGTCAACAGAGAGCAAGAAATCAAAGCTTGTCAGGGGTTAGCAGGTAACGGGGGAAAAGCTCAGCTAAAGTTATTCTATAAGAACAACTAAGCCATTAGTTTTGATCTTCGTATACATTACCAACATGAATAAAACATTACAGTCTCATAAAATATTCATTCAGCTCCTGACCTATGGGCCTGTTTTTCCACTATAAATGGACGTGCGTTTGATGGCCTAATCACAACCCATAATTTAGAGGCAACACATTAGTCTGTTCTTCAAGCATGTTCCTATCATGAGATTAGCAGACATGTAGTTGTGGCTGGGCTGAAACTGCGGTGGTCAGCAGATAATTTGGGATGTAAGAAAAAGAAAAAGTCAGAATGTCATTATTTTGGATGATGAATGGACGTAGTTTTGAAGGAGCTGGAGACGTTAATTTATATTCCTGTCAGACAATACAAAGGGGATGTCAGTGGGAACAATAACATACAGTTTCCAATGAAACCAACCATGCAAGTCTTCTCAAAACTGCCAAAATCTAAACCCAACACCATTCCAAATGACCTACTGAGGCCAAGTTTTACAGAGAAATATGTTTCTGTGGGTCCTATGTCATTGTTTCATGCAAGTCATTACTTCAGACTGTTGTTCACCAGGTTTTTCCATTATTGAGATCTGATATCTTCATTTATGCTGAACACTAGCATAGACTTCTAATATATGATGAACATTTCTCTTGGGGGTTGCACGTTAGATCTGCGGCCTGCTTCACATGCCGTGCACTCAAAATGTGGTCAAACTCGGCTCGCGACGTTCATTCAATCTCTCCTTCTCATCTTTCTTGTCACTCTCTATTATGCTGTCCAATAAAGCAGACATCACAGGAAATAAAGAAAATGCCTTTAAAATGACCACAGCTGGCAAAGGTGCAATGCCAATCTCAGTGGTGCCACAAATTGCTCCAATTTCAACGTACCGTACAATATGAGTAATATAATATTTAAAGAAGATATTTTGTTAGATTAAAATTATAGTATTAGAAGAATGTTTGAGTGTCTCAAAAGCTAACAGTATTGGAGTGAAGCTATAAATAACAAGTCTGTAGCTGTTGAGTTACTAATAAAAGTGTTGAATCCAGTCTTTTGGTGCCAATCTTAGGTCAAGATGTCAACTTTGCCTATATGATATCTCATAATCACAGATTGGCTGAGCACATTCACCTTCTCAAGGGGCTGCACCCTTCAATTTTAATTGACTACTCTCCTCAAGACTAATGTACAATTGAAAGCCCACTTCTGATAGGATTAAGAATCAGATCTATAAATCAATGTTGCTAATTCTGTTTAACAAATTAGAAGTGTGGGGTGTAATGGACAACGCAGACAGAAAGTCTGACAAAGATCCACGTTGCAAATACTCTCATGCTCCTTTTACAAAGAGTCAAAAGTATGATGAAGCACATATGAATAATTTGTGCAGTGACAATAAGCGTGTTCATGCTCGTGGAGCATCTAACAGGAACTGTAAGGTGGCCTTAAATAAATCCTAATTTTTACAGCTTTTTTTGATTATGGGAATCAAAAAGTTTTGTAGGAGGGATCAGTCATGAATGACCTGGTGTGTCCTGTTTTATTGTGCTTTATTGAATTAGTTTGTGTCAATAATCCTTGCACCTAGTCGTTAAATAGGACCTGTAGCTTGTAATCAGTGACCTGTGGTGAGCATCAGCAGTGGGCTTTCCAGAGATGATAACAAAACACATGAAATATTACCAAAATAAGTGACAGAATGCATTAACACATGAAGTGAATGAGAACTGGATGAGTGTTCAGTGAAGCCCAGAAAAACTTTTGTAAATACTTTTAAATTTGTATGCTCTATATCATTTCCAAGAAAAAAATACCATAATAGGTTTGGATGTAAAACAGATCAGAGCTATGCTTCAGTTACTCTTTTATCTGAAAAACACAAAACTAATGCCAGTTATCCAAAAGACACCAAAGACATGTCAACTGCTGTGTCAACAGAGCAATAAGTTATGAGTGGGTTTACAACTAAAGCAGTCATATTCACTAATTTCTTGAAAATTGTGCCCTATCCTCCTCTCATCATTCAAATAAAACACAATTTAGTTATAATCAGTTTAATCTGAGACTAGGCACACATTTCCAATCTGCAAACAGACCGATTTAGGTAATTTCATTTAATCAGCACTCATTTGCATATGTGCAAAAACAGTTTGCAGCTGGCAGCAAATCTACACTCTTGGCTGCATCTATGTTTCACAACTTAAAAGCCTGTGAATTGCTTTATGGGCTCAAAGCTGTCACAAAACCCATTGTGGATGAGCTACACAGCTGACTCACAATCAAGTGACTCGAACCAGAAAACAATAAATACCTCCTAATTCTGCTTTGATTGTTGCACTGGGGGATATATTTACATATTCATGAACACTTTAATACACCAGTAATGGTGATTGCATATCCAGCTTGTTGAGTTTCATCAGACCCAGGGGATTCAAACTGTGATATTCAGGACTTTCTTTTCAAAAGTGATCAAATATACTTGAAATATACTAAAGCACAATCCAAAGCAAGGCACCCATTCCTGCTATCCCCATTTTCTCCACAGCCTTTTCTGACCAATAAAGCAGAAGATGGAAAGTCAGGGGATCACATGCATTGTCTGGGGGGAAAAAAAATCCGTACCAAATTTTGTGCCAATCCGTCTAGTAGATGTCACATAGTTCACTTCAAAATTGCCATTCCTAGAGCCATGCTACTAGTGTGGCAAAAAACAAACACCTAAACATCTGTAGACCAGTACATGAACAACTACAGCAATGAGACCCAGAGAGTTTGTTTCAGTAGACGAGGCTGTAGTGTCTCTGAGCAATAAAAGTTATGGTATTATTTTGACTGAGTGGAAATTTGAGCACTAATGTCTTGATGTAAGAAATCATACCGAACAATGGCCAGAGTTGTTAAGGGATTCCAGGAAACTCTTGCCAATGCAGTAAACACACACTGAGATAATTTCTGTGCTTCATCACTGTTGCAGTTAGGACTTCATATTAGCCAAATCTGTCTTGGATACATTCAACAGCATATGTGAGCCAAAATAAAATAAAACACAATAATAATTTGCTAGTTGTGAATACTGCCATTCATCTTTTCTACCTCAAAATGTTACTTTATGTCCCTGGATCACTGCCGTTACACAATATTTACACCTATGTTCCACTTCAGTTGTTAAATTAAATAAATGGAAGATACACTACTGTCAAGCCTCTTTGTGGTCCACAAAGCATAGTTGAAAGAATAAGATATGGATGGGCATTAAGGTTCTGAAAATATTTCTGAGGTAAGTACTTAAATACTATTAAAGTTAAAAGTTAAATCATAAATAGAGGGGAGGAATACATCTACACATACAATTGTTGGTCACAAATTATTAGTCACCTTTTTAAATAATAAAAGGCATAGAGCGTCTACTAGTATTTATATATAAATACATTTTTTACGAATGCAAATGTCAATCATATGTTTTTATGCTGGTGGGCCGATCCAAATCTATGAATCTTATCACCCCTAGTCGCTAGCTGGAAGATAGGGATTAATGTCATGGGGTATGCTATGCTTCAAAAGTGGGATGTAGTGAAAGTGATGTGTACTATCTGTAGTAAGGACATACTGTTATTTGGGTAAATGCAACATGAATGTTAGGGGTCTCATTCAGAGGGTATGTGATGCATTCCTCCAATGCAGCTCCACTTCATGCTTTTCTGTAGATTGCTAGCACAGCTTGACCAAACACCTTGCAAGCACCATTTGAAGACACACTTCAGATTTGAGTGTACAACATTTTACCACTGTGACAAAATTGGGAAATTCTAAGTGCTACCTGGCATTTGTTACTCTATCATCATGTTAGTGCTGGATGTGACATCACTACTAAGCATTACCAGGTGCCCCACTCCCATGCAGAGTCGCCCATGCATGGGAACACACAGGGGCAGCGGGTAGGTATAAACCCTTTTGTTTTACAGGGAACTCTCCCATAATTAACCCTGTGAGGACTCAGCGTCAGTCTGGGAACAGTCAGCCTGGAACAATGGCTCCCAGTAATGGTTTTAGCAGAGTAGGGGGTAGGACAGTTACACAGACATGGAAAGCATGGTGATTAGCTAGCGGATACAAGCTTAAGTTGTAGAAATTGTCTGAATCTAGATAGTTATTAGGGCTCAGGCTGGAAATGATGTCACCCCTACAGGGTTGGTCAACCCAAACTATAATGTTACATGCTGCAGACAGACCACCCTGAATGAGGGATTGACAGTTTAGGCTACTGCAACTTTATATACAAACTTCACAATGAAAGAACATAGAGGCAATATGCTCAGTAGAGCGTGTGCATTACTGGCCGAAATATGTGCTTTTAAACACGCGCAGTACCAATTTTAGCAATTACATTTACATCATGTGAAAACCAATGTATGACATTTTGAGAGGGAAAATCTACAAAGAAGAGAGGATTTCACATTACACATACTTTGTCCAAGAAATACTACGGTGAAATATCTGCATGATAATATTATATTTATTTTGGAGAGCTGAGGTTTTTGTGGCAAAATAATCAAGCAGACATCTCAATTTTCCAACTAATGTGCTGTGATCTAATGACAAGCCGTGGCAACAGGGGCTGAGGGAAGAATAATCCCATAAAGCCATTAGAAATATCATATTCAAACGCAAATACCATGATTATGATTAATAGTAATTATGATTAACTGCCGTCATTAGATGAAGATCTATCTGAACATACACATTAAAACAACATCTCGTGTATTCTGGGGCACTGGTGATGAATGCAAGACTACTTACATTTCATAATTTATGTGTCTGTAGAAGAGCAATCCAGCCATGCAATACCACAGGCAGATTTACTTGAGGATAAATACCTTTCGCCTAATGAAGATTTTACTATTAACAGTAAGTGTGATTAAACTGTGAGGCTGGATACAGACGCACATTTAAAGTTGAGTACTCAATTTATTTTTGTAGATTTTTCCCCATTTTCAATCAATTTGGAATGTAAATTCCCTACACGCACTGCAGTCATTGTCTCTGATAACTCCACTTTTAGCCTAGTGACGGTATAGACAGCAGTGTGCTTCCCTATTTGGTACATGTTGTTGCCAGCCTCTTTTAACCTTTACCTTTTGTAAAGGTTCACTTCCCTTGTTCATTTATCAATGCCAGCATGTTTTTCTGACAGTTCCGCATTGCAAAACAATGACATGAACTCATGTGTCTATGCTGCTGGAAACTTACAAGAAGGAGTCATGGCGGAGAGGAAGAAACGGTCCAAAGTGTGGCTTCATTTCACAAAGCAACTCAAACTACTATAACTCTACTCTTTTTCTACACTGTGCTCAGACTAAGAGATAATAAAACAGTTGCATTGATGCTGAAAACCTATGCGGACCTACTTCACTCCACCTTTCCACACAGAAAAATGATCAGGAATCAATACAGGAATCGACAAAGAATAGGACGAATAAAGGTACTGAATCATTAAAATCTCATCAATTCCCATTCCTATTCCACCCTACAACATGCAGGCGTCCCGACCCAGTAAACCAATAAAAAGGACAAGAATCCTTGCCGCCTGAAATTCACAACCAAGCCCAAGGTAGGGAATCACACCAAGCATTTCTCCAGTACTGAGAGTTCAGTCTAGACCTGCTCCATTTGAAAAGTGTCCTGAGATAACTTCTGATATGAATTGGCGCTATACAAATAAAATTGAATTGAATTGAATTGAATTGAATTGAATTGAATTGAATTGAATTGAATTGAATAGGAACTTCACACCTGCATCACTGTGCTTAAAGGACTAGCCAAAATCAAATCTTTGGGATGTTTACACCTTACCAAAAACTAGAAAAAAACCTCTAGTGTTAGCACTGAAATCCTATTTATGTTTATATATCTCTGCTGTAAAGCTATAACTTACAATATAATCCATCCAGTTGGGTATTCTAGCATTATCTTAGACGTGCAATGTAAAAATGGGCACTTGTAACTTAAATAACATATATCTTACAGACTTGTTTAGGGGAATGCTGAAACATTCAAGTCATTTAAGAAAAGAAATGTCATGTCTGTGGCAGAAATCTCTCCTTCTGCTAGACAAAGAGAAAGTGAGTTTACATTTTTTGTCAGACAAGTTATGAATCTTTAAACTAAAAAAAAAAAAGTCTCACCACATTTGATTTAGAAAAATGTGTATGTATTTTGAATAATGTGAATCACCTACAATTATGTAACACAAACTAAATTGTGCATACATAAAATGGTTTTCTTACAAAGTATCTCATCACATATTGTCTAATTTGACCACTTGAAAAAAATGTTAATGTGGTAGTATCTGAGCTGGCTGCAATATGTCAAAGGATACTGATCTCATTATCACGCTGCTTCAGCATCGTCTTTAGTTTGGTTACCTCTGCTGCACTGTGGTAGCTGTCTTGAATGACTTCCTCCCTCACTGTTTCTGCTGGTGACCCATCACTGCGCCCATTTCCTCCTCCATGCTTGTCCATGATCATCATCTGTACAAGAAACACAAAATAGTAAACAAAAAAAAAGTAAAAGAGAATGGTTGGGTATAGACTGTATAAAAAATAGTGCATAATCTGGTTGTCCATTCCAATTGTTCAATCAAATAATAGTGACAGCTAGAGTCACAGGAATGTAATTTTTTACCTTAAAACTGATGTTTTTGAACATCAGCCTAAGACAAGGACAAGCAGCAGGGAGCTGAGTGTGAAAGAGCTAGCCAGCATTGAGAAAAAAGAAGAAAGAAATCCAATTCAAACCAGATACAAATTCCTGCAAAATCACTGGAGTGTGACTGGGGTGATGCTTAGAGGAATGTAAACTGAACAGGAGATAGAGTGCGGATCATAACAAACTGAAGGAGAGATAAACAGACATTCAAGTGGGATCTGGAACTGCTTCTGGTGGCTGCTCCAACTCCAACCAAACCGGAGTGCAGGAACAGTGTGAGCACCGCAGTGTTTTCCCTACGCTCATTTAGCAGCAGTGTACCATCGGCTGCTGTTTGAGAAATGTTAAATAAGATCTGACTTTCTTTGAGAATTTGTGTTTTCTACCAACATCCTGCAAAATATAACAACTACATTCAATTGCAAACTTTTTCCACAGCTGTCTGTATGACTGGGCATAGAGTCAAAACCAAAATGGTGTCCAGACTCCACAATAATAAAAATACACAGGAAACACAATGACATTGATTGAACCACCTCTTCCAGGTGGTGACTTCAGTTTAAGTATCAGTTCCAAAGTAATACATATGGAGAAATATAAACAAATTCAAAAATGAGCCATTAATGTAACACATACAGTGTTTACTATTTAGTCTGAACCCTACGTATGTGTTTGATAATGATGGGTACATAAATATATGTCCACTGACCCATTCATTAAAGATCATAGGGAAGCAATTATGAGTACATGAGCACAGTATCGGACCAGACACCAGTATTGACATTGGTGCATCCCTATCAGATTACTAAATGAGCTTACATTCAGAAACTAATGAGTACTTTCATTATCGATTCATTTGTCTTTTCTTAAATTATTTTTCAGTTCACAATGATATGAAGGAGCAGCAAATTCTTATATTTGAGAATCTGGAACCGAAAATGTTGGATTCATACTTTATCTAAACAATAAACTGATTTTGTTACTTGTTTATTACTGGTGGTTAATTTTTTTCTATTGATTGACTAATCAATAAACAGAATAACTGATTTCAGTACTAATTTATATTACCAGAAATACTGCACTAAATAAATACAATAAATATACAAGAGAAAAAGAGAGTTTGCGATTGCATGTCAAATAACACCTCGCCTCTAATTAGATGGCAAATAACTGCAAAACACAGAGTGTCTAGACTTCAGTCAGGCATGGGAAAATCAACAACACTCAATGAAATTGGCCCTATCGTATCCTAAAATATTTGCACTTTCTAGTCATATGTATTCTCTAGAACTAAGTATACAATATCCAGCTAGGTTATAGTCAGGCCTGAGGATAAGATTATATTAATCATCAAAATACAGTGATCAAATTTTACCAAAGTGATTTTATGAGACAGTAACCACCAATATTAACCACATTAAAATAGGAAAGGACGTTAATTCAAAAGTAAGGCATTTTCTCAGCAGTGGACAGTAGAGGGAGCTATTTAAATGAGGTGATTGGTCAGCTGGTCAATGCTGGGCTGGTGGATGAAGTGAAATGTAAAGAGATCAGTTCTGACACGTCACATGCTGATCAAATTTGTTCTATATCTGTTTTACTGAAGATAGAACTCAAGCACTAACTAAAAGAATTAAACTTTTATTTCAGTGAACTAGCATAGCAACCTGAACTGAAAATATCTTCCACTGTCACACATACATGGTGACGCCACATGGAAACAAACCGTAGGAAATGATGGAATGACAAAGAGAACAGACACAGATGGAGGCTTATACAAGGAGACATGCATGTAAATACATTACCCTCAGCAGGGAGAAACAGTACTGGATTTTTCTCATGTCTGGTCCCAATGACAGTGTAACGTCTGGATCACGGTCATCCAGAAAGGTCTTGACTAACTCTTCCAACCTACACACACAGACACACACACGCAGAAACTTTCTAATAACCAACAAAGCTTAAACCAGTGCCACATTCCATGTTACAATCCTTCTCCATCACACTTGGCTCTGCTTAAACAGGCACTCAAACAGTTAAGATCTATATTTGAGGAGTGCTTATAATGTTTAAAATGTGGGTCCGGTCAAAGAAAACTATTTACTTAAACATGTGTTCCAGCTCCACTGGGCTAGCCTGTTGATAAACTATCACTGAATGTTAGTCCAAACATTGGTTCTTCAAGCTCTGGAACCGGCCACTGGAAAAGACCAGGAGGCAACCATCCAGACGGATCCAATGTAGGCACGATGACGTGCGGTTTTTATTTTCCGCTGTAACGTGTCCGGAGTAGAAACACGCAAGGTTTACATGACAAAGGGCTTAAAACAAACGCAGCGGTCTTGTTTCAGGGCCCTGCGAGACATCAGTGGTTTTGTGATACAAAGTTTGATTCTGGAGAAAGCCCTTCGATGCCATGTACAATATTTTGTAAGAGAAAATCCTCCTTCAAACGCCAGAATTTTATTTGATTCCCGAATAGTTTTTCTAAGGTGTGACATGATATGTGATGTAGCAAACTAATATTGCATTTAGGAAAACTAATTTAAATTGGCTTCAACTAGTATAGGAATGGATTGATACTGAATCTTATAAAGCACTGAAGGCAGCAGAATAGTCTTCTGGAAAGAAAGAAATCTGTATGCCTGGGGATATATGTGTGTTTGGAAATGTGACAACAAATAAGCCAGGATATGTGCAATCACTCAGCACTGAAGATGAGTCAAGGCATAAACTGAAGAGGAAACAGCAAAAAAAAAAAAAAAGTCAGCATGTCCAGTGAATGTGGTCACAACAGACATCATTAAAAGGTTCTCTGCGTGAGTTAGACCACAAGCAGGGGGAAATCGAGGATAATCACCCGGGTAGAGAGGAAATAATAAAGAAGGTGGACTGAGGGGGCCAAAGCACAGTAAATACATCAGCAGTGATGGGCAGGCTATTTGCCAAGTCCTCGATGGAACCTCTGGCCTGAACCCTGGCCCTGACTGAGTCCCTCTGCCATTTGAGCATGAGAGCAGAAATAAAGCAGTCCTGGGAAACGCTGGTTAGGCCTCAGTGAATGAGGCTTCAACTCAGCTCTAATGCATATCCAGCAGCATAAGTTATGTAGGCACTTTAGGCGAAACCCCAAATACTTATAAATCATAAAACATATTTGCTCAAGCATCTCCGGTTTTCTAGCACTACGAATACAAATTACAGTCCAAAAAAAGGCCATCTGTTCTCTTCCCTGGGTCTGAGGCGCACTGTAAACATCCCAGAGGGCTGACGGGGCCAGCCCAACACTATACCCGTTTACACTGTCCTGAGATGACTGGCTCACAGAGGTCATATCATTACACACACGTACAAGTTGTACAACAAGTGATATCGTCTCTGGAACATACAAATTTAACTCAGGACTGAGTGAGTTTGTTGCCTTTCCTCATCTGTCATGTCAGGTGTATTTTGAGATAACACTATAGGCCAAAATGTCTATGCTATGTTAAGACACTGACTGGATTGAAGGGACGAAGAATCAAGTAAAAAGAGGTGACGTACTTCTGGATCTCCTCCACAGTTAGCTGGTCATCTCTCTGTTCTCCTGTCAGCATGGCCAGCTCTTCCTTCAAAGACTGGATCTCCCTCTTTAAGCGTGCTATTTGCTGAAATACAGACACAGAAAACAGCATACACACATTGTAAAAAACAACAACACACAGCTGCACCTACTGTACAAAACAGAGACCGATGCAGACGGAGGCTATATTGCTGCTGAAAACGTCACTGCAGCTTATCTTATTGATGCATTTAGAGGACAAACTTAAGTGATTCCAGACAACTGGATGCTCCAGTAAGAAACTGCAGCAAGCAAAACATAAATTAGCATTAAACAGTTGCAGTGGCAAAAAAAGAAGAAAAGAACACATTCTGTTGCTGTCTGTCCACACATGTTTGGTTAAGGCCGCTGTCCGGGTCTGGTTGCTCTATATATAAAAAAACGCAAAATATCACACCAAGTCCAGACATAGCTTCTTAAATAAGTACTTAGATAGCAATCTTGGCAAAAAAAAGCAACCCAAAGCAGTAACAGCAGGCATGTCTGTTAATGTCAAAAATCATGATCAGAGGAGAGACGATGTGACAAGACAACAACCTAGAGCATCATTCCACTGCTTATTACTGACATCAATATGTTCCCTGATCTGTGTGCCCCAGGTACTGTGTTCTCCACCTGATGGAGAACACACCACACGAAGGTAAGAGACAACAGAATATGTGACAAAGAGCTGTTTAAGGCATGAAAGGAGAATTCACCAAAAACAAAAGTGTTCAGGCTCTGGCCCTCGCTGACATATAGCCTTTAATCTTTGGGAATGAGTGTGTGGTGAAAGGGTCCACGCCCAGAGAGGTCAGTCTAAGTGGCCTCATGTCAGTCTAGGTAAGGATTAGCAGGCATCTAACTACCGAGCACCTGAAGGATTAGTGAGTTCAGATCATAGATGAAGTGGCATTACATTTATGTAGCAGTAGGTAGCCATAAAGAATTTATTCTCACATTAATAGCTCTAATTTGGATTGCTGCATTATAGGTTTGTGAGTTGTATTGCTCCGTTGGCAATGGAAAGTGTACAATTGGGACTAACATCAGGAGGCTATTGTTATTTGTCCAATTAATCAGATTACATTTTCAGAATCAAAATCAAAATCAGAAATACTTTAATAATCCCAGGGGGAAATTACTTCAAACAAATGTATCACTTGCTGATGGTAATGCCTTTCTCTTATGGATATTATAGTTTTTTTATAATATATAATATATATTGTAAATGTTTAGGTCAGTTTGGATAAGTTTACATTTGCACTGCTACCACTTGGAGTGGTAGAAACACAAGCCGTGTCTCCATTACTTTTAGCTGTTTCACAGTTTTCTCAACTACTTTTAGCTAACCATTTCAACTGTTTATTTTTTAACAGTCTACAGCAATCTACAGTAATTTATCAACCATTTTAGGTCCTTCAGAATGTTCTTCTAATACCTTTAGGTAACAATTCCAAAATGTGAACCATTTATCTATTACATGTAGCCAACAATTTGAACCATTTATCAATTACTTTCAACTACTCAAACAATGTATCAAATACTTTCAGATATGTCAGCATTTAATACTTTTACCTAACTATGTCAATACTTTGTCCATTACATTAAGCTTAAAACTTTAATCATTTATCATTTACTTTTATTTATCTATTAGAGGTTGGATAAATAGCTGAAATACAGTAAGTTGATAATTAGCTATCCATCTCAAGCATTTATTCACTTCTCTGCTTACTTGCTGGCGATACAATGTTAGTGTTCAGATGTTACAGCTGACTCAGTAAGTGGATATATATACACAAATTAGTTGAGCTTCTCTTCAATCTCCCCTTGGCAACTGTAGAGGTTCTCCTGATTGGAAATCTGTACTTTACATCACTAACAGTTTCCTTTTTATATTTAATTCTTTGTCCTTCGTGCAACAGACCTGTTAAGTGGGATTACATCCTAGATTCCTTGGTCCGCAGCAAGAGGAGCGAGACGAAGAGGTTAGAGGTGAGCCCACTTGACATGAGCGCTTATTTTGATGCTGAGCCGTTTCTAGCAGTGTGCCATAACTTGAACTTAGGGTGCTATGATTAAATGTGAAAGGGCCACATAAACCCAGAAGGACTGATTAACCTAATAAAGCCTACAACTTGATATCTCTGCAGTTAATTGTATGAGATGTTAACTGGGCATTCATTCATTTGCCAAAATTTGCCCTTGAAAAAGGTGGAATCAGTCCAGGAAGAGAATGAGCCTTTTCACATTACATCTAAACAGAGACGTGTAATTACATGTTAATGGTAGGGAAAATAGGCCAACACCAAAATCAATGGATGGTGTAGTTATTGAAAGGAAGCCAGACCAGTTGAATAAAAATTCTGCACAAATCAGACCACAAAACACAGAACCACTTAAAAAAACAAGTGGCAATTGTTCTTTGTCTCACATGACCCACTTCTTTCTTCAGTATAAATCCCACTTAACAATCACCACTGACTTTGACCACACCGCAAAATACTATGGCAGACTGAATGGCTGGAACTGTCTAAGTGGCAAAGAGCAAATACAACAGAAAGTGTCACTGTGTGACTCTGGCACACAGTGACACTTTCTGTTGTAAAGTCGCAAGATAGCCAAAGTTCGGTGGGAACTAAACCAAGGTCAAAGGTCAGACTGAGTCATCAAAGCAGAGAACTGCCACTTCTGGCAAACACATCTTCTAACTGGAAAGTCAAAAGCAGTCATACAGTCAGACATAGTCAACTTTAAGATGCTCTTGAGAAGAAACAGACCTGCAGTGTGGTTTGGGGAAGGTGCCACCTAGCTAAAAGATAATTTCATCCTTAATCCAACCCATATCATATTTTTTAACATTGAACATCATAGCTGACCGTCCCTCACCAGAGCCACTCCCTGCATCTCCTTTTTGGAACCCATGGTCTGATGTAATTCTCCCAGCTGCATCCTTAAATGCTGACCGCCAGTTGTTGGTCAGCGGAATCGCACAGTCTATTTCAGAGCACCGAGCCCACACTGGTACCACAGCACCAAGGCAGGCTTCCACACACTCTGAATAAAAACTGACTCGTGACTGATGATGCCAGCATGTCCTATGGAAACCCATGTTGGTGCAAGAATACCAAATGCAGGTTGTTATGGTGAAAAAGCAATGCTAAATGTATGCCTGTGTTTCTATCTATGTGCTGACAAACATGTTACACAATTAAGTTTGAAACATTACACTCACTTATACAAACAGTTCTAACTTTAAATTATACATCTTCCTGAACACATGCTTCATACTATGCTGTGCAGAGAACCACCCACATTAAACTGTAAGCACTGCAGTTTAACCACAGGTTACACCTCAAATGCATATGTATTATGTAGTATGCCACTCACAAACATGCTGCAATTACGGGGCCTCCTTTAATGAGGGAAGAGGAGTCATAGTTTCCCGCTACACCTAAACGTAGGCAAGGTCTTTTATCCCCCACAACAAAATGATAACACATGGGCTGTGTTCCATGCACGGCATCATTTAGGCATTTTAGACTATGGCTCCACACCACTACACTTCCAAACTCCCTTCTGTCCTAACAAATGCCCGCCGCTTAGACAAGATGAGGGACCCAGGCAGAGCAGCCACCCGCAGGAATTTTCACACCCGCTTTCCAAACATGTCTCACTGGTGGGCTATAAGCAGGCCTCTGTTTGACTCACAGGTATGCACTAATCAGAGCTGTCTCCAGCAAGATGTTGTGTGTGTGTGTGTGTGTGTGTGTGTGTGTGTGTGTGTGTGTGTGTGTGTGTGTGTGTGTGTGTGTGTGTGTGTATCTTTAAGTGAAGGGAGAGTCCAGGTTCAGGAGGGTCACCCAGCCTCTAATTAGCTGCATAACAACACACTGAGATCAACTTTTTTGACCCTTTAAGATTTATGGAAAGAAGCTTGATGGCATTTCAGCTCAACTCAAACTCCTGCACAGTGAGTACATACTTGAAATAAATGCTACACTGAGGTGAGGTAAGGCATCTTGGAAGATCCATTAACTGTTGACAATTTCCTCTGACTGCAGACCAGGATCAGCCAGGTCTAGATGGAGGATTAAGAGTGACCTTAGTGCTCTTAGAGTAACCAACAGAGCCAACCTTATATGGTATGGTCACTGTGGCTGACTTCATTATGATCACAGGTCACTTTCAACACCTCATTCTTTCCCTTTCCACGAGAGACATGTTAAATGTTTTGTCTGGTCTGGCTGGTTTCCTGCTGTTCAGACTTTGAAGAAGTGCAGTTTGTAGCCTGTAGGCTTCAGTATAGGACCATTAAGGCAGTGTGTGTGGCTGAACGATGTACCAAACACTGACTGCAAGATAGTCAAAGTCAAACTCCAGATTTCAAATCAATTACCACAGCCGGCATGTCCAATAGACAGTGTGCTTACAGATGGGGGGGAAGGCCAAAAACGGGAGTCTGAGTGTCACCCCAAGCCACAATAAATGACATCATTCTAATCTGCAAACTGCACTGCTGGCTTCACTTTTGTTTTTTTCTCAGTAAACCGGGAAGAGAGATAGAGGGGGAGACAGAGAGACGGGAGCGACGAAACAAAATGAGAAACACACGAAAAAGTCATAAACGGAGACAAGAAGTTTGCCCACGGAGTTTGGGTTTGCCTGAAGCTGTAACTGTGCCGGACCCGATTGGGAGCAGCCAGACACTGTCACAATTACTGCGCCGGCCGCAGACTCTCTTAAAAATACCTCTGTAGGGTTTGTAAGTGGCCAGCCAAGTCTCAGCTGCAGTAATACAGTAGCATGTTGATCCTTAGGCAGGTCATGGTGGGAGGGGAGGAAGCGGATATAGCTGTGATGACTTACTACTGTATATCCCCTGAGGGGCCTTTACAACAACTAGCAGGTCTGCTTCCTGGCACTCTACAATAAAAGGTGTGACAAGTATTGTTAAAGGAGAAAGTAAAGGAGGCTAACCTGACTGAACTGCTCAGGCAATCTCTCATGCAATTTCCTTTTACTCATTATAATACCATGTAACAAAAGGCAGATATGGAAGTATTAGTAAGGTCTTAGTAAAAAAAATGTTGAGTGGCCTCTGTAACCACATACTGTAACTACAACTTTCTCTGCTCTACATCTCTTACCCTGGCCTCTTCTCTAACTTACTATAATAAGAATTCATAGTGTATAGATACTAAATATAATGAAAGTAAAAAGACTCTCCCACTCTCATTTTAAAAATATTACACTGTGTCCTCAGCTCGACAGCGTCTAGGCAGGAATTGCTCCGTTGCTCCATGATTGCAATTTGTGCTTTCTTGCTTGAATGTGTGCAAAGACATATACATACACGCCAGTCTCCAGCTGGAAGCTTTCTCAAGAGGCTGTAAGGTACTGGGATAAAATATGCCATAACAGAATTGGAGGCATGTAAACAAAACAGAGAGAGAATGCAAACAGGACCCTGTGAGCAGTCTAAATAATACAAGACGGACAGGCATCCACGTGTTGAAGCTGGAAAACAGAATGAATGTCTGTCTGACACTGGAAAAACTCATTTGGTATCGGAAAACTAAAGAGGACACTTAGGCACATGGTGGGTTACACTTTGTTACATTTAGAAGCTGGATTCTCACTACAACTCCCTCCCTGATCAATTTAAGGTCTGGAAGCTGTGAGGAGGGTCTGGCCATAATGAAACAGCACATTAAGTCATGCTCCAGTGGTGTGACTGTGTGGCTAAGCTGTGGTATGGTATTTGTAGTGACTGGTGGAGTGCAGTGAGTGCCTGGCTGTCTCACCAGGGCAGGATCCAGTTCTTCATTCAGTATTGCCTCGTTCTTGATGAGAGCCACGCGCTGAGCGAAGCGGCATGTGGAGATGGACTCCTGAAGAAAGAGGTTTTAAATAAATGTTTTAATGTTTGCCTGAGGGAGGACTATTACTCTTAATTACTCTCTATGAAGCAGAATATACTGTGAGACACAAAATGTAAGAAATATATTATTTTTGCTTGCTTGCCTATAACCTATAACATTTTTGCACTCCAAAATCTTGTTTCTCCTCACTTTTATGGCAATCTAACAGAATATTGTGTCAACATGGCCTTAGAGCAGACCCTCCTTACATCAAGGTTCCTCTTGTCAACTGCCATAGTGGCAATCATTGTAGTCATGCAGTTGCCCCCAAGGCTGTCCCTCAGCACTGAGGTCAACATGGAGTTCCTGTAGGGAATATGGGAGCGGTTCTTCTCAGACAAAGCTATGATCACCTGGAGAAAAGAGCAATGAAAAGGGCTGATATGTAAATAAAGACAGAAATGCCTGATTGTAACATAATGACTGAAACAAAAAGTAGTTATTCTTTCCAACAGTGTGGGTCATTACTGTTGAGTAGCTGCAAGATGGTCATTAATCAAAGTGACCAAATGTCTGACATAAAATGAATTATGATGAACTTATAGCAGACTGAAAAAGGGAAGAAGTCTAAATGAGGAGAATTTCTCCTGGTGAAAGCATTCAACTGGCTGTGTCAAATCACACACAGTAAATGGAGAAATACAAACAAATAAATTGCATTCTATGCCCAGATGTATTTAATTATTCACAACAAATATATTCTGAATATTAAATTGTACAATATATTATTTTAAAGTGGCCCTCCAGTCAAAAATCTGTTTTACTACAGTATGATGTCTGATCTTCACTGTGCAGAATGATGTCTGTGCAGAGTTTGACTCTAGAAAGATGTTTTCACATTCATCTGCTGAAATCTAGCATGATTTGTGACAACACAAATAGTTTGGAAGTCGTACAAATGTGATGTAGAAGCCACCAGTGCACAGACACTGAGAAAGGACTTCACAGGGAAGCAGGAGACATCTTGTGTCCAGCAGCAAAACTTTTGAACAAAATGTGCATATTCTTAGACCATTTGTATATATGACTTAATAACTGTCTGGAGGGGATCTTTAAATACAAATGTTGTTTCAGAAGTGGCTACCTGCTCCAAGTAGTGGAGGGAGAGGTTGATGTACTTGGCTTCAGTGAGCAGCTGCCCATTCAGGCCAGTCTTGCTAACTCTATCTGATCCAGCCAGGTCCACCAGGTGAAGCTTGGAGCGTCGCAGGGTGGCCGAGCCTGGCTCGCGCCTGCAAAGGTGCACAGTGAAAACACAGTGGGAACGGGTGGATGCTTGGTTCATTGGAGTCTGAGAAGAGAGAGGAGAGGAGAGAGCAGATCGGTGAGAGAATATTTTGAAAATGCGGTCATATTCCCCGGTCTGTGTGCGAGAGTATTTTGAATCGGTACACATGTTGGACACAAAAAAAAGAAAAGAAAGAAAAATGGAATTTCATTCTCCATCTGCAGTACTGGCCAAATTCAAACAACAAAAAACATGTTTCCTTTGATTCTTATTTTTTCTTGCTCCCGCTGGTTTGAAGATCAAAGGCACACCATGTGTAACCGATGAGCAGTAAACACATGGTGGCAGCTTTCCAAAAGCTGAGGCTGATTTTCAGATGGTCACTGGAACAACAGAAGTCAGGTTGAGAGCAGGAGGAGACAGAAATAGAGTATGAGTCACTCTGCACAAACAAGCTTTATTAACTAGTGGAGGGTGCTTTACTCATGGGTCCCTCAAAGAGAGAACAAACAGTTGAAAAATAGTGCTGATCATAGACTTCTATTTTTTTTTTTTTGCTTGTGCCCAAGCACGTAGGCAACTTGGACATATGATGGTGGCTTAAATAACACAACTTAATTGGAACAGATGATGTACTACATCTTGACTTGAATAAGAGTCTGATAAAGACTGACAGTCTCTTTCTGGTGGTCACTGATATGTGCATTTCTTACACATTCTCTCTACTCAAAAACATCATCATAGACATTCCAGGTCTTTCCTTCTGAAAAGGTGCTCTGACCCTGACTTGTTGTTGCCGTAAATGTGCCAACACCTGTCTGTTAAGGTCATGACAGCTTCTGACAGATCTTTCACTATCTTAACCCGCCACTATCATCTCTTTCCTCAGTTTGAATTCTCTTCACTCTGCACACGTCCATGTTTGCTCTTCAGGGTATCCCTTAAAGTAATATGAGACAGCCCTTAGATGTTGACAAGAGATCACATTCCTAATAGGGTTGAATAAAGGGCCGAGGGTAAGGATATAGTGTCTATGTTATAGAATCAGTTTTACAGTCTCACCACTGACAGTGATTTTCCAAAACAGCCCTGCAATGAACCCTACCATCATAAAGGTTATAAGGCTCAGCTTTTGTTGACATTGAACTGTTTGATTCAACTTTATGATCATTTTGAGTCATTTAGGTTGTGGTGCTGCTGAACTGTATTGCAATATACCGATAGGTGTTTCTATTATTTTCAACTATTTATATCAATAAGGTTTGGCTAAATAAAAGAAACATCTGTCAATGTGAAACACAGCCCAGCAAACAACCTTCAAAATGATCATAAAGTTGAATCAATAGCTCTCTAATACAGTGTCAACATGAACTGGACATTAGAACCTTCATGAAGGGAGGATTTATTGCAGTACTTCTGCTCTACACTGCATTAGCACTAAGTATGACATACATTAAGTGACTGTTAATTCATGTACTACAGTGAAAATCAATACCAGCACTCATGGGTGACAGTTAAATATTGGATGTTAGTATTCAAGTATTCAAAGACACTGACAGCTGCCCATAAATAGGAAGTGACTGAGTGTTATTGTGTCCTGTCCATGGCATATATGTATTTAACACTCAGGACAAGCTGAGAGACCTTTTAGTCTCTAGTAAGTTTACAGAGGTGCATGCATCCTAAAGAGTACATCAAGTACAGTATGTATGTCTAAAGTTCCACTCCAGACACGTTTTAAACAATGTAAAAATACTCTATGAGTAATATTCTATTTCACACGTTGTTCACACATAACAAGTAAAAAAAACACTATGAAAAGTGGCTGGAAGCACATGTACTCTTTTCTTCCTCATTGAGAAATTCTGGATCTATGAACAACTGGGAAAAGAGCAGTGCACATCAAGATGGCTAGCGTTAGAGGAAATATTGAGAGATTCTAGCAGACTTATCAGAAGATATTTAGCATCTTTTATTTCTTTATGTTGTTTATTTCTTTATGTTGTTTGCTAACTGGCTGTCAAAACCTTCACTATGCTAGTGCAAACTCTCGCTCTCTGCACAAGTCTCTGGACAAGTCTGCTCTGCGCTCGAGGCTTCAGGTTTCCTTGTCTATCCATCCATCTGTCTATCTAGCCATCCATCCATCCATCCAGTTTTGGTAGCATCTCCCCAGTTCTTGAAAATAGAATATATAAGAAGAATGTACTGTTTACTGGGCCTCATGCAGCAACATTACATTTCCAATTTGTCATGTACCAAAACCGGCTTGGCCAGATGTTTGAATGTCAGATTTGAGGGAAGAGTACAGACATTTCCCCCTTCAATAGAGGAACATATACGGATGCAAGTTAGTAAATGGTCAAGGTCAGACATAAACACATTTGTGAGTGGAGGGGATTTTTTAACTGTTACACACAGTGAGTTCATGTCCACAGAGGAAATAAGTGTCCACACTGGGTAAAGTATATCTTAGTTGTGAAAAAACAGCAGTACAATGCAATCTCACTGGAGTCACCTCTTTATTCTCCTGTGTTCTCAGTTGACCACATGTTGAGCTTGCATGCACCACAATGCTGACCACACACAGTGCTGCACTGGGTCAGCATAAAGGCGTAATCTGGTGCTACAAACCTAAACACTTAGAGATTGCTGATTCAAAAGATTAAGACCTGTTATGCACCGTACTCACCCCCACAAGTTCAGGAGGGAGTCAGGATGTAGGAAGGGGGAAAGATCCAGGCCCTGCATCCCCACATGTGAAGTGAAACAGGGACGCAGAGAAAATACCCTATGGGAGGAAATGTTTCCTGATGAGGTTGAAGGAAGGGTGAGGAGTTGAGAAGGTGTATTTTATTTCCTGTCCAATAAAAGTGTAGAGGGGATTGCCAAGTCTCAAAGCAAGTGAGCTCATTCTCTGCTGAGTGTGGCGTGAATGGATGTGTCATCTTTTATCCACATGGCTGGGAGCAAGAGAAGAAAGAAAGCATTAATGTTAACTTTCCTGGAAGTCTACGTGGAACAAGGACTCCTGGGATGATTTTGGCAGCGACAAATTGACTATGTTGACGGTGCTTTGTTTTTTCGGGGCTCCAGAGAAACCTTCTTGTGAAGAAGTTCCAGAGAGGACGAGTTCACAATAGTCTCTGTGTAGGTGGACTGTACTGGGGGCTCCCTACTGAACTGTGCAACGCCTCGATTGCCTGATCAACAAACTAATGCAACATCCAATAATGTGTTTCCACTGAAATATACCCCCAGGTACAACAACAGTGGACACTGGGAGTGTGTCCTTAAGGTAGCTGAAGAACAAATGCAGTATTGTTTTGGCAATGGACTAAGTTCAGTGGAATATGTGTACTACATGTGGTACATTTTCTCATACACTACAAACATTATGTGAGGATACTAGCTACTAAACCCACTTCCAAGTTCTGGAGAAATTCCATCTTTTGCATTGGTTGTTTCAAGGAACAATTCCAGCCACATCAAAAACTGACTTTGAAACACTCGTCAAAAATTAAAAGCAAGTCTCTGATTGAAACCTGATTATCCAGTTCACTTTTACTGTCTGTTATTTACTTACAAACTAGCAACACAAGTAAACAAGGTGAGATCAGCCCTTTGCTCCAAACCTCAGGTTGCAAAGCAAAAGCTGACCCCACCACACGTCTCATCAGCGTGGGGAGTCTGGGTGTCTGAGTGTAGAAAAGAACCACCACAACATAAACAAAAATTACAGAGAGAATGCTTAGTTTTACTGGGAAAAAACATGGTAAAAGGGACCACAGGGGACCAAAATAATATTTTAGAAGGGTCTTAAGGTAGCCTTTAGAGTGCATATTTCATTTGTGGACAAAAGAAATAGCCTTTATGCCACTGAGCCTGGGAGTGGTCATGTATTTTTGCATAGTGTCTGCAATCCTTTCCAAGAGCACTGCATATAGTGTATGGTATGGTGTGTTAGTGGAGAATCCCTACTGAAGCATGCGTTTCCCTTATTCTTACTTCTGCAATCATACGATTGGTGTCACCCAGGAAGAGCAGGTTCAGAGCCTCCTCCTCATTTGCTGACGGCTGCAGCGACAGGTTCCTGAGATGGATGTTCTGGTCTGGATCCTCCATGATCATTACTTTTCTGGAAAAGAAAAGAAAAAATGTTGTTAAAGGAAATTCCAGCATTATAAATGAACTCCAAATTATGAATAAAAAATGACCCAAACCCAAATAATCCAACACTGAAGCAATTATGAAAAAACTAATTATGTCCGTTATGTCATCCATTTCCCTCCCGTCGCCTTGGCCTCGCTCAGCTCTAAATCAAAACAAACCACATCTGCAAGTCGGTGTGGGCTGCGACCCAGTTTGACACGTGTGCTTTATCTATCCGGGGGTTCATAACTTGATAACAGACAGGGCTTGCTTTTAAAAACAAACAGGTGATTGGTCTTTGCCCACATCAAGTACTCTGAAGCACAGTGCTTGGACAGATGGGGCTGAAATGACTCGTATGATCCTACTATATCATTTCCATCCCGCCACCAGGGTTGTGACGGCATGGCTACTGGATTGAGATGTCAAAGAGGGTGGAATGACTGCAGACCACATGTAGATAATTATGTTAACATGTGTAGGTAATTGAGGTAGTTTGATAAAACAGTATTAATTTGAATGTGATTAAAGGCCTGTACCCAGGGTTAGGGTTTGGTTTTTCCAAACATCTCCACCAATCCAAAATAGGATTTGATTATTGTATTTTCACACAAATAAAAAAATTGTATAAATTAAAAAGATATTTTACAGACTTTGAGGTATTTAGAGGATGGAATGCGGACGCATGATGGAAATAAAGCACAGATGGAGTCAAGAAAAAGTAAAACAAGAAAAAAAAATTAGGGAATGAGAATGTCAGAAAGAAGGGAAGGGGTAGGCAGTGAAAGACATAAGTAGACCAACAGTTAAAGAGAGAAATTTGTCAGTGCCACAGCTTCTCCTTGAATCAGCAAGTGTGGCCACAGCATGGTTAACGACGGGCACCGTCTATTTCCAGAAGACTGTGATTTGTGGGTATCGAAACCTTGAGCTGGATCCTCTGCGAAAGGAGAGAAGAAACTTAAATGGAACCGGTACAAGAACACACAAGACAAACACCAAAATGATGTACCGAGACGATGTCGCGCCTGGAAGCCCAAGGTCTACTTTGAGATGAGTAAGTATTGAGTATGACAAAAAGGCGAAAAAAAATAAAAATAAAAATAAGATCATACGCAGACAAACCTCCAGACAGATGGAATTTATAATTACAAAGAAAGATGGGCAGAAGCAAAGACAGAATGAAGCAGGATGAACTGTGAGGAAGAGATGCAGTCATTTCAATGACAGGGCAAGGTAGAGAGGAAAACAGCAAGACAACAAAGAATGAGTGAGAAAAAGAGGTAGATGGACACAAAAAAAGAATTTCCTTCAGAACCAGCTGCAGCAGCAAACAGCTATGAAAAGCTATTTCTCCACATGACCCTCTTGCTCTCCACTCCAGTGGCCGAGTCTGCCACCAGGTTGACCACATCCATTGCTGTCCCAGAGTCTCATTATGTTAGTTGGCAGTTTGTAGTGAGGTGGTAAATACTAGAGTCTCCATATTTCACCACACGCTGACTCTGGGCCAGGCTGACGAATGGCTGTTCAGGAATAAGGCTCAGCTAAACCCACAAGTGTCTGAGAGAATAATGGAACCAGGGATGATTGGTCTTACAACTTTAAAATAAGTGTATTTATCACTTTTAAGTGCATGTTTTCAAGGCAAAATATACACTTTATATGACTGATATTGAATTGTTTACATTTTCAACTGTAATTGGATGTCTGTAGCATTAGTTACAGTAATAAAAAGAACACTGACGGTAGGTCTTCCAGTCGAGACGCTTCATGCCGGGAATCCAGAAGGTCATATCCCATCTCATTGTAGATCTCCAGGTAAGAGATGTGTGTGTTGTAAACCATACTGCTATCCTGTGGAGCAAAAAATATAGTATGTAAAATTGGACTGGGTGCATACATTTAGATGCTTTGATGGTAGAGACACATTTTTCTGTTATTTATCAATGTGTATGGCCTATATGTATGAGTGAAATTGATGCCTTACATGAATTGCTTATTCATTTTTTGCTGACCTGGCTGAAGCGTTCAAACAGGTAGGAAAGGGTGCGGGGAATAATGCCACGATCGCTGTAGCGCTCGGCCCCTCCTGTGACGGTAAAGGTCTTCCCACTGCCCGTCTGGCCATAGGCAAATATGGTGCCATTATACCCAGCCAATACACTGCACAGATACACACACATTTAACAGCCTACCAGACAAGTTCACAAACACTAAAAACATAAAGCCTAATGTATTACCTAAGATGGACACTGTATATTATCTATTTTTCATTTTTCATAACAGGGGTCTCAAACTCAAATCGGCTTTGGGCCACTGTTGGTATTGTCATTGCATAGGAGGGCCACTTCAATGTTCAAGTAGTACAAGAAAGTGCAATATTCTGAAAATTTTTCCATTACTAACATCATACTTAAAAATAAAAACACAAAACAATAATCCTGCAGGCCAGATTATCTAAGCATGTCGTGGGGCGGAGGGAGGGGTGCTGAGGGCCTGAAATGGCCTCTGGGCCAGCAGTATGACATCCCTGTTTTATAAGACGCAGATTTAAAAAGGTCCAGTGTGTAATGTTCAGAATCTATCAGCAGAAACTGAATGTAATCCTCATAACTATGTTTTTATAAGTGCATAATGTCCTGAAAATAAGAATCGTTATGTTTTTGTTACCATAGACTTAGCCTCCTATATCTACAGACGCTGTAGGTCGCCTTCCTTGGGGGCCCCAATGTTGAATCACCATGTTTCTACAGTAGCCCAGAAGGGACAAACCAATAACTGGCTCTAGATAGGGCCATTGAGATTTTTTGCAGGCACCATAGTTTCTCCTTTGCACTTGGAAGGGAAGGGTGAGGTAAAGGGCCAGCAAAATCCAACACACTGTTCCTTTAATACACTATTCTTCCATATCCAATTGACCCTTTCTTCTGTCAACTGTACTAAGATATGCAGTGCTAGGCTTGTCAATATTGAAGAGGTAATCCCAGTAACCGCCGTGGGTGGGTGCTACGCACAGGACATGGTGGAGTTAATGTGCTAAATGTGCTGCATTAAGTGTTTATTCTTGTTGTTATGTCGTGGTGTCCCTATGTATCTTGTATCTATGTATGTATGTATGAAAGCTATGTACAGACTGCGGTGACAAACTTCCTGTGAAGGACAATAAAGTATCTATCTATAAAAGACAAATTATCACTTCATAAAGTTATCGCTAACATTATCTCTCATTGTAGATTAGCTAGCTAGTAAGCTAGTGTTTAGCTTAATTTGCTAACGTACAAGGGACTGTCAAGTATGCCTAAGCAGACACCAAAAGTCTGAGTGAATGAATTGAAGCTGACACTTTAAATCCACAGGAAAAGATGGCAGTGAGTGGAGAACTGCTATGGCGACAGACATCTGCCGGTGAGAGAGGAATGTCTCGGGAACAGGAGTGAAGGAAAGGGCCCAAACCCAGTCAATTAGGCAGGTCCCGGTAAAATTTCGCTTTGGCACTGAATTGCCCTTCTGCACGTGCACAAGGCCATGGAAACCAATGGTATCTAGTTCGGTTTGAATAAAATGAACTTCCAATATGATGATACTCATATGAGGAAGGATAAATTGGCATAAAAAACTCCTGTTCTGTAGTCTTGGAAATAAACCAGGACAAAATAGTAAAATGACAGACGGCCTCTGATACACGAGCTTGGATCAAAGGTGAGAATAAACTCTGTGCTCTTTGACTTGCCAATTGCAAGGAAAAGGATATCTTGACACTATATTTTTCAAGATGAATTAAAACGAACTTAAACCTCTCACTTATTCTAATGGAATTGCCAAACCAGTATTTGAGCAGTGTGTGGGTTTCCCTCCCTGTGTACTGTACGATTCCACACCCTGCATGAGGGTAAGGGAAAAAACTGCATGTCAGTTTATATAAAACACAACGTCCACTCATGAGAATGGTGGTTGGTTAGTCTGACTTGGACGGCCATTGAGTGTCCATTTAATCTAGCGTGAGTCATGGCAGTGATTGGCAGCGGGCAGAAAAGACACAGGCTCAGTGTTTAGTTTAATGTCAGTGCTAATGATGCGGCCTGGGCCCTGCCACTGAGGCTTGGGCGTTTCCCAATGTTTGTTCCTGTTTACACCTCAGCTTTCCTGGAGATTGGCAACTCATCGTCTAGAAGATCTTTGTTCTTCCCGTTCTTTTTATGAGAAGCACGATGTCCAGTCTTTAGAGGTAACAGGGTTAAGGATAAAACTGAACAGACCCCTGTTCTTCTTTGAACTTGGGCTGCAGGTTTCACAGCCTTGCAAAATGGGATTACAATGGAGATAGAGGGTTTGTCTTGCCAGCCCAACATCATTACATTGGCTCTTCCTCTCCTGGAGCTGTTAATACTGGTTTGTTTTTAAACTACTGTGTTGGGGTTGAAATGACTGGTTTCAGTTACACCACAGCACAGACAGAGACTAGTGTTCAAGTAAACGAGTTAGAGCTTTTGGCTAAACTTGAATTGAGCCAAGTATGACAGAGTACCAACCAAAACAACAACCTGACAGTTATTGCTAGTTGAGAGGATGGGCGCCTACGTGCATGAAACTGAGTTTTAGTGCGGTGACAGTGAAACTGCCGCAATTCAAAGTGACTCCTGACTAAACCTGAATAAATGTTTCCTGACTACAGGGGCTTTAGGAAAAACATTGTCAGTCCAAATTTGATGCTGTCACTGATCTCTGAGACCAGACGTGCTTCTGTAATTGGAACCATGTCAATATCAACACAAGCTTAGTTATCAGCATACTAACTGGGTTTCACATAGCTTAGTCTATGTCAGTCCCAGCTAAAGTGCTTTTCATAATCTCTTTCAATACTTTGTGTAGCAAGGATACGAGGCCTAAGTCTTTGCCTATTCCTGTGATTGTGTTAGAAAGCAACATATTCCAATAGGAAGTGTGGGCTCAGCAGGGAGAATTGTTCACTCCATTCACACTTGTCTTTCAGCCACTTTGGTGAGACTGGATTTAAAAGGTTAAAACTTTGTGGAATTCAGAATATTCAGTGTGTAAACTAACAGGCATCCTGCAGAGGGGATGAGGAACTGACAGCGGACTAAGAAATGTCTGATTGGGGAGACAGATTGGTCATGGCTGGACAAGGTGACTAGTGCCCTCTAGGCTGCAGACATTATAGTCATATCAAAGACTAAAAGACGCCAAACTCAAATTGATATGGCGAGACATGGCCTGGTTGTGACAAAAAATTCTAACCTGATGGTTACCATCTGCCACACAAGGGGGAACTGTTAAGAGGTTGGCTGGGGAGGCCAAACTAATACCCAAGTCAGTGAACCGGTGTGAGTCAGGGCAAACACATCCAAGCTCTTAGTCAGCCAATCCAGACATCTCACAATCTTGTTTATATGTCTTCTAATAGCAAAGATAATGCAAAGCAGTTGCGGGATTCCACAAATAGCTCCTATTGTGACTGAAAAGACTTGGGTGGAATGTGGAGGAGATGGTGGGGCTAAATTGAGACAGGAGGACAGAGTTTGGCGAGGAGACAGAGAGGACGAACCTTGTTCACATAACAACAACACAACCAACATTTGATCACAGGAAATTCCAAGTAAATTCCATCTCCTCTTGGCTGTTTTCTCTTTTGGAAGTCATTCCTGATTTAGACTAAGTCTAGGCAAGGAGTGAAGCTCTGACAGACACCATAAAGTTTGTCTTGTTGAAGTGGAGTGAAAATTGTGTGTAGAGGTATCTTAAAGATAAAGAATAAAAATCTAAACAGAACTAATTTTCTTTTTTATTATACCGAATGATATTAATTTAAATAAATCTGGTAGGCATGTATGACATTGACAGTTTTGCTGATGATAATTGTATAGCCACTATTTTCTACCAGTGGAGTTGTACATTATAACTTGAACTTAGTTTCTCGCAGTTTTTTCTCAACTAGGTGGATTCCTAAAAACGTATCTGTAAACTCCTGATAGTCATGCTTTTGCCAAGTGAAAAATATCAAGTGTAACCTGACTCCTTCAACCATCCATTAAGTATTAACCTTAAAAAGGTCCAGTGTGTAACATTTAGGAGGATCTTGTCAGAAATGGAATATAATATTCATAGGTATGTTTTCATGTATAATCACCTGGAAATAAGATTTGTTAGGGACCGAGCACTGAAGCAAGGAATTATTATAATTATTTGTGCCGCCTTCGACCGCATATTTGGCGGCCGCAACATGCTTAAAAAGTCAGGGAAAATTGCACAAAATTCAAACGTAGCGAAAATACCGGTACACAGCTGTCCCCGTGCACGGGTGCCACCAAATGGCTAAGCCACGCCCCCCCAGAAAATTGGTACGCATGTGTATCATGATAAAAGAAGCAGAAAAGTCTCTTGGACCCATACCTCAAACCCAAGAGGAAGTTGGCCATTTTGATTTAAATTTTCACTTTTCGCGTTGTATTTGAACAAACTCGTTAAAATTGAGTTATCATAGCCGGTTCAAAATTAGTCGTGTCCGTGGTGTGGCGTTAAAGTTGGCCATTTTGAATTCCGTTTTCGGTGAATTTCTCACACGTGTGATTAAAACAAAACTTGGCACAATGATTGCCCATTGCTCCCTGAGGCTTGCTAAAAAAGGTGTCAACAATCTGCCACTAGGTGGCGCTCTGGTGGCAGGGCAAATCACTGTGCGGAGACTGTAATAGTTATGAATATGAAATTCACAGGACACGTGTAGAGTGGTGCCTGTAGCTCACATACCAAAAATCGTGTTTGTAGCACCCCCTACAATATTTTAAAAAAGCAGCCCAGGCGCCACGTTTCACCGGTATGAATGAAACTCGGTAGGCACGTGTAACATGCCGAGACCTACAGAAAATCCTCTTGGACCCATACCCCGAAGCCCACGGGAAGTCGGCCATTTTTATTTCAAAATTGGTCAGTACAATCAAAACAAACTGTAGATGAAAAGTTGCACTATTTGTGACTGTACATCAGCCGATGCGCCATAAAACAGTACTCATAACTTCAGTGTGCAATGTCCAATCTCCAATAAACTTAATATATTCTGTAACAGTCTCGCCCTGTACACGTCCTCATAACTTCAGCGTACCTGGTCCAGTCTCAATGAAACTTCACGTGCTTGATAACAGTCCCGCCTTTAAACACGTCTACATGACAATATTCAGACATAGTGATAGCGCCATCTACCGGCAACAGAAAGTAAGCACTGCGTGGCGATTCTGAGCTGATTTACGTGAAATTTCCATGTTGTGGTCCGCACGTGTTACGACAGCACGTGACGCGGCCGCAGCACGCCCCGAGTTGCGTGAAGTGCGAGGTCCCGCCCAACGCTGCTTGCAGCTTTAATTCTGTTTGTTGTTGTGTCTGTTTTTATCTACAGAGGGCACGGATTATCTTCTATGGATCTTCTACTTGGAGAGTTTTGCCACCACTGTACTTTTTCCTACACACTTGGAAGGCTGAGCTGTATTCAAATGGTTGCAATCTGCAACTTCATCACTAGACGCCACTAAATCCTTCACACTGGACCTTTAATTGATTCAAAAGTGGCTATATTAGCTAAAACTGTAATCTATTCTATTATATTGATAATGAATGAGAACACATGGTTATGTACTTGTACTGAACAAATTAAATTGTTCAGACGTATTGGGCATATTAATATTAAAGATAAAATATTGATAAAATAATTAAGATTTTACATTTACAACAGGCCCAGGTGAATGCCCTATCTCCATTAAATAGTAGTAGTATTGAGGGATAATGAATGTGGTACTAGGGAATGACAAATTCAACAACAGCTCAAAATGAGTGAGCAGCTACGGTACACTGTATAGCTCTGTGTTGTGGCTTGCAAATGTTCTCACACTCACGATGGCACAGTGTGCCATCTTGCCTGCCAGCTCAGTCCACTTAGTGGTTTAAAAATGAAAAGCACGCCAAAAATCACAGACACCCTCCATTTCCATCTTAAAGAAAGCTGAGCCTTACTGACTTCCTGTCAACAAGGCTGGCTAAAGCCTGTGTGGCCTGACCACAACATGGAGAGATGAGCTGAGCACAGGTGGAAATAAATATGTGTTTTGTGAATGGGATAATTAAAGGTTGTACTTTCAAGGGTTTGAAAAAGCTTTTAAGGAAATGACAAACGTTCAAAATGACCTGGGATTAAAACAAAAATGTATTTACATTTGCAATTTTGAAAAGTACAGTGTCAGTTAGATTTTACCTGTCTGCAACTGGTTTGGCAATGTTTTCAAATATCTCTTCTTGTTTGACTGCTTGATCAAAAACCTTTTGGAACCTGGACAAAAGTGAGAAGGACAAAGGCAGGAAGAACAGAACAGGTCAGAACATCCATCTATTATTTAATTTACTACAGTAAAAATGTATGTGGCTGGTTTATCTCAAACATCCAAGGCTCAACACAGTTTCCCACAGGAGTACTGAATAAGCACAAAAGCAGCGTATTTAATTGCCTGAGTGGATGAGGAGGCGTTTAGTCATTCTGTTTTCTAAAACAGTCTTGACCCATCATGTTTTATCCCACAGAAAGATGAGAGCGATGAGAGAGGAATCCGCCCAGGAAGATTGTTAAATGCTGAAATTTTATTTCTATAAGGGCACAGGGGAACCTCCATGGGCTATTTTAAGACTCTCTGTGGTTTTCAAAGGCTCTCAGTGTCCACTGCTGTCTGACTCCCTAACTGTGAATTTAGGGCTTGGAAGCGTGGCATGGGCCCTGCCCAGAGGGTATGTAAGGCTGCAGCTCTCACCACCAGCGTTAAACAGATGTTCTGGCTCTGCAATGACTGAACTGGTGGATGAATTATTCATGGGAAAAGTTCTTATGCAACCTTGAGAGTGTAAATTCTGGTGGACAGCTCACCATCCTCTATGTTGTATGTTATCCTTATTCATTCTGAATTCTACAATTACACCACTCTTGCAGATTTTAGCTTAAGCATAATTGAAACCAAGAACTGAAGTGGTTGTTTGCAAGATTCTTGCTTTTTCCAATTTAGCATAACATAAGAGGTTGTCATTGTTTTGATGTTCTGACCCAGCCTACTGTAAGACTGGAGATAATTATACTGATACTATAAAGACACTACATATAGACTGCATGCGGATATATTTCTTATTCATCTTATTTCTATAAACAAACTGCTTTTACATACAAGACAAAACGGATAAGATTGGTCTTAAGAAAGAGAGAAAAGGTATTTTGAACAGCAAATATAAAAGCTTTTACTGGCTATAATAATATATGACTCATGGGGCGCCCTGGTAGCTCACCTGGCAGAGCTATTCCCCCATGTACCTATGTACCATAGTCCTTGCTGCAGTGGCCATGGGTTCGACTCCGACCTGTGGCCCTTTTCTCTCCCCCCTTTCCTGTCACTCTTAGGCTGTTGTTATCCATTAAAGACAATAACCCCCACCAGAAATATTAAAAAAAGAAAGAAAGAAAGAAAGTTCACTCCCTACTCCACAGTGTCAATGATTGAGAGAGGGTCAATATGGTGGACTTCAAACCAATTGAATTGAATTAGTCTGATTTGAGATATTAAGCCATAGGAAAGTTACATATACAGCTGCCTGACACTCTACCTGAACTTGTAGCACTCCCTCTTGTTGTTAACAAAGCCATCAGCCAGGTCTCTGGGCACCACAAACTCCAGAGAAGCACCTGTCTGCTCCTCATTGTCCACAGAGTACACCTGGGGGAGCCAGAGACAACAGCAGAGTCAGCCCTGCAGTGGAACAAGGCCTACAGGCTACTGTTTATTAGCAAAGGGCAATGCAAAGAGCTGATTTACCACAAGAGAACATTTGGGGAGTATTTGAAGTAGCTGTATACAGTAGACTGAAATAGTAGTCTACTATATGTGCTATGATTTGTAGGCTATTATGGTATATGGTGCCATATGCAGCCCAACTTAAACACATAGACAATACATCATGCTAGGTCTAAAATATAAGTCTGGCCACTTGTGGTTTGGGTATTGCAAGCCCCAAAATGAAGAGATGGAGTTTATGAAGCATGTATCCTGTGGAAAGCAATGGAACTGAACAACCAATTATGATCAGTGCACACTGGAGGCAAACTGTAAAACATTCCCCTCCGCTCACCGAAGCCTCGGGGGTGGCAAGAACAACTGTAGAACATTAAACCAGTATGGATTAAGCTCTAGCAGTAGACGACATTTAAAGTGCGGCTGGCTGGGTCAATCCAAACACCCCCACCCTCTGTTTTTGAGCATATGTTCTGGCATATGTTTCCAATGGACGCTGGTGCAGTTACAAGTCCCCGGGGTTTCAGGATAAAAGATAATACCTAAATGATTGGATTGTTTTTCACTGTCACCCTGCCTTCAGCATCGCCTCCTGACCTCCACTGTTCTGTTGCCTTCACATTGACATATGCAGAACCTCAAAGAGCCCCAAGCAGGTAGCTGTGCTTGTTTCATTTTGCTGGATATTGTCAGCTCAGGCTAAAGTGGCAGAGAAACCCTCAAAGTAATTTGATTATTTCACCCATCAGCTGCTGTGCTCAGACAATACACTGGGCTTGAGAGAGAACAAAGTGCTGCCAGCGGTGTTTCTCATGGAAATTTACTTTTTTTTTGTACATGTGTATCCAATAAAAAGGGCCCTTATCTGATAGTACGTGTGCATTAGTATACATGTGTGTACTTTATTGCCAAAAAACAAAACAAAAAGAATGAATTGATATTGATATTATTGTATAAGCTTGCCACTGTTTGACACCAGCCCTAAATTAAAAATCTGATTCTATTATTCACCTGCTGCAGGTTATAGAATCTAAACTTTAAACGCTTCTTTTAGCAGCTTTGATATCTAATATAGTCTAAAAAGGAAACTCTATTCAGCCTGAAATAGAGAAAATGTGGGACAAAGTAAATAGTATCTTCCACACAAAGCTTTTGTAACTGGTATCAGCAACCAAAAGCCATTCATTAATAGATAAATAAGGTTTATGATGACTTTCCTGTGTTTCTGAATGTTGAGGTGTTTAGGCTATATGGAGCAACACAGGCCTTTTTCTACAGTAGATATTTGGACATGTCATGGCATGAAAAGCACAGGTGTAATTAAAAACAGTAATTATGAATGACTGCATTATATGCATGTGTGTCACTTCCAGCTATGGCCCTGGCACTGTAACGTTATTGTAGATTCTTGATCACTGGAATAATTTATTGAGACACTAAATGGAAGGGAGCCATGTTTGTTAATGTCATTAGTGACACCTGTGCTTTCCCTGCCATGACCAGCCAGGAAAAAGTGAAGGAAAAAAATACAACTTGAGCAGTATTACGTGCACACAGGTGAGTTTTTAGCAGTCCAACCCTGTTCTGTGATAAAACGTCGTTCTAAACTGGGATAACTGAAGTAATGGCAGTATAAACCTGCATGCTACGTTTTTAGAGAGGCCTCGTCAATATGACGCCAACATTAGCTATGCTAGCTTAAATAATCATCCTATCCGGCATTCATTTTAATATCCACTGAGTTCTGTTTAGTTAAATGTTGAGTTGTAAACTTACCGTCGTAGTTTTCTTAGTGGGTTTAATACGACCAAATATCTGTATCGTGTGTTTCACCATTTTTTCCAGATAACAAAAGAAAACAGTTAGGTTTGTTTGGTTTTCCTCATGCAAATAACTAACTTAGCTAACGTTAGTATAACTATAGCTGGTTAGCTCGCGGGCTAACGCTATGTCGGCGCTGTGCTCTTTGTAGTCTGTTGTAGCTGGTTGCTAGGCGACGGTGGTCACCGCTGTCAACTCCGCTAACAAAGATCGTCTATACTTCAAGATGATTCACCAGAGTAAAACAACCTTCCCGTCTATCCTTCTCTTTCTCTCATTTCCCCAAGTGCCTGATAGTATGAGTCAGTCAGTTCAAAGATGTTCAGGGACCCGTGTGTGTAGGAGGGGGCATGTGAATAACATTAAACACATGGTCAGAAGTAAAAATAAAACAGGGATTCTACTTTCCTCTGATGTTTTTTCTTCTCTGCTAAGCAGGTGTTTTGTGTATTCAAGACAAAAGGTCACTCCAGGTTCAATGACTCATTCAGTGGGCATATTGACAGAAGTGCATTCACTGTAGGCACTCCCCACACATTAGGTCAATGGCAGTTACTCCTGGTGCATATAGGTGCAACCACAACTGCCAGATCTGACAGCTGGTGTGTGCTAATGATAGAGAGGCGTCCACTATAGGTACTATAGATGTTGCATGAAAAAATAAACAAAAAACATGACCAAAAGTAGCAGCAAATCATAGCATTTTAAACCAACTTTTCTTTGATCTACCACAAGCCAAAATTCTGCGTTTTGGAACTGAAAGATGAGAAAAACCAGAGTGTGTTAAAATGAGAAATGAGAGAGACCAGACTACAGCGTTTTGTGTTGTGTGTGCGTATGTTTTGCGCGTAATGTGGGGCTAAGAGTGGGGCAAATATACACCCAGTGGAATGCAAATGTACTTTAAGGTATAGCCAGTTTGCATTTAGGCCAAAGCTCTCTCACACACATACATAAACATCATACTGCCCCTGTTGATGTGTAGCTTTATGGGTTTATTGATGTGGCTGAAACTGACTTTGCCAGTCTGATTTACAGGAAACACTGGCAAAGTTTATATAAAAGCACAGCGGCTTACAAGGATCCACCTAAAAACACAACAAGCTCTCCCTCATAGAAACTCACAAAGGGCACAAATTCACTTATCAGCTGATTCACACAGAACCATATGTCTTGTGTTTGGGGAGGTGGGGGGTGGGGTCGGGGGGTGGGTGGTGGGTGGTGGGATGTCTTTGACCCTGTCTCTAGTTTCCGCGCATGTGTGTCATGCTGTTTCTGGTATTTCACCTGAACCCTGTATATGTTCCCGCAAATATAGCCTAGTACCAGGAGGCCTACCCCCAAGCGGCACACCAGACAGTGTACCCGGAAGGCTGCGTGGTTTCATGGTGGCATTGAGGAGAATGTATCGTGTTTGTTCCAGTGCATTCTTTGATGCCACAGAAAATTCTTCTTGTGTGGTTCCTTGTTTTCTGTAGAGTTGTGTGACTTGTGTGTGTGTGTGTGTCGTGTTGTGTATGATTATACCATACATACTGCTGATTTTAGTGGGCAGTTTGGTTCAAAAGTGTGTGAGTGTAGATCATACACCAAGTTTGCTATTATTATTAAGTTTGCTTCTACATTATTACTGTCAGTTAGTGTGTGTGTGTGTGTGTGTGTGTGTGTGTGTGTGTGTGTGTGTGTGTGTGTGTGTGTGTATGTGTTATGGACTCAGCACTAAGCTTGTTAACATCAAAATGCCAAATGTAGACCAAGATTAAAACTAGTAAAAAAAACATTTTATTATTTAAGTACCTACCTCAATTGAACAAAAATTCCCAAGCTCCTATTCCCCTGTGTGCCCCCTTATACCTACTCATCCTTGTTCCCAAAGCTAACATTTTTATAACTTATAAAATTAGGTAAAAAGTCCACGCACAACTCATTAAACAGTTAGTCCACCCACACAGGACGAGCATTCATGAGAGGATTGTGTGAGGATAACCAATTGGACAGGATGTTTTTCACATGGGTTCCGAATGGTCTAACATGCAGCCCTGCATTCCTTCAGGTTAGACTGTGTGTGTGTGTGTGTGTGTGTGTGTGTGTGTGTGTGTGTGTGTGTGTGTGTATTTTTTTTTGTTATGCAACATGCAAGGGCTCTGTGAGCAGAAAGTGTAGCCTCTCAGAGGATTGTTGCTGATGTTGGTGTTCACATGTATAGCACTGTACAGTCATGTAGTTCAAGCAGCCGTCAGGCAGGTACTGCTAGCCGTGCATGGCTGAACAAAAGCTGTTAGTAGAACCCTGGAGCAGTAATACAATTTCAAAAGAGGCAACTTTTTTTGTTTTTTACAGGGCTTTCAGGTGGTGTAACACACCCTCTGGCAGCCATGTTGGAGGTCCGCAGCTCGCGGGCAGCACAGTATGAATGACTGACTGAAAAATGTCCAAACTGTCTCAACAGACCTCAGCTCAGTTTTGGGCGAGCTTGCACGCCAGTTATTACCAGTTGCATGTTAGGACAAATATAATGTAGGTGATTAGCCAAGAGAATAAACTACGATAATAGCTGTTTGTTCAGTTTATCTTTGCTGACTCTTCAAGCTACACCCCTACAACACCTTGTAGCCAAGAGCAAAGGTGGTAAAGACAACAAAGTCCTAAGTACCACATTATCTAAATGTTGATACTTGTGCTTTTCAGTTGAATTTATTAAATGTGTTCGCTCATGCTATGAGCTTTGTCTTGCCTCTAACACACACACATGCACACATGCCTCCAAGCTGTGTGAGATTCTCTTGCCCTGTCTTTGTAGCTCTCCTTCTTTCTTTCTCTCTTTCTTTCTTTGTGTGGCCTGTCGTCCATGGGGAAACGGAAGTTGTTTAATGTCCTCCTGGATCTTCATTCTTCACGTAGGCCTACATTTTATTCACATATCAGAAACGTGGCATTAAAATTTGTATATAAAGTGATAATCTGCTCTATCCATACAATGTCTATTGTATGTCCGTCTGTCCTGCAGGGAATTTCTTTTACTGGGATGGCACAAGCAGGACACTGATTTATGCAGGGGTGGCATGAAGTATGTGTCTCAGCTTTCCAGTCATTACCAATTCATGCAATTCCAATACTGTTTATGGATTTACATATATATTTACATCACATGCAAAAATACTGCATTGTTAGTGCCCAAAACTGCATGGGATTAACATATGTCTGCGAAGGGGGTACCTGTACCCATAGAACCCCATCCTGAGGTCAGAGGGATCCCTTTGAAAATGCCAGTTTAACCATGGCCAAAATTTTGCCTGCACTTGTACCATTATTTAGCCCCCTTCCTAACATGCTAGCATGGCTGGTTGGTACCAATAGATGTGCCAGGTCATCTAGTTTCATGTGATACCAGAATCTTCACTCCAGCTTTAAAAGCTGAAAAAAAAAAACAGTGCCACCCCATTCCCCCCCTTCTGGAGACTCCCCTGCTGTCGTTGGAGACGGAGGCAAATTGTGATTTGTGATTTTGAGCTATATAAATAAAATTTGATTTGACTTGAACAGCTGTTACTGCATAATGATTCTTTACATACTGTAGAAAGTCCTTCAAAAAGTAGTAAAGTCTACTTAGTAGACCATAGAACTGGATTCTCCAGTCAACACATACAGGCTGCAGAAACCCGATTCTATGGTTGCCCATATTTTAATCAGCTCCACAGTATGAACCACATGCATTCAAGTTGGACCAAACCGAGAATGTCTTGCACTTGTGGACACTGGAGCTGGTGGCAGTGGCTAGAATATTGCGCAGTGGTATTAGCAAAGGAACCCTACGGTCACGTAGCCCCTGAGGCTATCTGATTGTGACCTTTATCAATAAGGTGTTTTTCATGGAGCATGACCCATCACAAACAGTAATTGTTGGCAGAAATACTGTTTGCTTATTCTCTTTTTTTTCACTCTTTAGAAAAGGAAAAGAAAAGTCTTTTCCCATGAGCCTACCTTCCTACCGACCTATCAGCCTACCCAGGCTTGACAACTAATATCAGCAGAAACCTGTAGATCGTATCACATGATAACAGGTTTGAGCCTTTGCATATAAAATGCATCCTCTTCCAAAAAGTTCCACAAGTTCCAAGAAGGAAGCAGCCACGTCCACTTTCTACAAAACAATTACACAGTGTAGTTAAATCTGTTTCCTTGACAGAAAAGTGCACGCAGTAAACACCAACCAAGGGCTGGACTGGGCTTGTTAGGGAGCTGTGAACTCTTTTTTTAATATCCTGTTTTGGTCCATGAGTTGTCTTTATCTTTAGCTGACATAGCTGTGGTTTCTCCCCAAAAGAGGCAACCGACTGTACTGCATGAGTCCGACACACGGAAACGGACTTCAAATCTGGATGCAAGACATTTTGTCTCAACAAATAAGTGACAGACACTTCAAAAGTCTTGCATGCATGCAAACCACACGGAATTCTTTCCTTTGGTAAATGTGAAATCACTTAAAGTTATGTCCTCGGTTTTCGACGATAATTCTGACACTACGTACTACCTGTGCTGGATTCACAGGATGATCAGGTGACAATAAAAAATCTGCAAGTGTCACAATGGAATTGTCACCATGGATGATGACTACACATGTGCAAGCATGCATGCTCGCACACACGCACTCACATAAGTACACGCTTCATCAACTCTGAAAGGACTGACGTACAGTAAAGACTGTTGTTTTGATACAGATAAAGCTTGAAGCTTCAACAGAGTACATTTCAAAACTTGTAGAAGCTTAAAAGCAAAACAACTTGTGCTCCAGCAGCAAAGAAAAAAAACCTGTTTTTTCAGTCATCTTTGCCAGCATTCAACACCTTTGTCTCTAAGCGTCGGCCTGGCAGTTAATCAAAAGGTGTGCTCGGTGTCAGAGGATTTCAGCCTGGTTGGAAGCTTATGCAGCATTCTCCTGACCAGACTGACTATTTGGTTTGGCTTGTGGTTGTGATTTTGTTTGGATGTTTGCAAGATGACTTGATGACCACTTCAATGCATTTACTATTACGACAGGATCAAACGTGCGCCATTGGAAAAGCAGACTCGGGAAGAAGCAGTTGCTGTTTCTGCAAATATACAGATGATGTTGAAGTAGATGTCATATATGTATCCATCACATCACCCAGTCACATTTGAACATCTTTAACTTGAAC